GGAGGATCACGGCAAGTCCCGAGAAGTTGGAAGGCTGCGGCCGGTTCGTAATCTAATATTCGTTAGAACTAGAAAACATGTTGTGCAGAACATTCCCCTGCAGCCATACCGTGGACGGTTCAAGAGTTCCTGCAGTCTGCAAAGTACCCTGACCAGCGGCAGTCACCGCTCCCTTTGGTGGCGTCGGTCCGCCGGGCAAGGGGTCGCCCGCATCGGACCTCCCCTCCCCCCCCCCCCCTCAGACACCAGGAGGGTCTCCCACACTCACAGTGACCACGAGCGGCGGGTCGAAGCGGGCGGCGCCCTCCCGGATGGCGGCGCGGTACTCGTCGTCCGCGAACACCGGCTCGTTGTCGTTGGCATCGAGCGTGACGATCTTGAGCGGCACGGAGGAGCTGAGGCCGCCGCCGGAGTCGTCCGTCGCCTGCGGAGGGCGCCCCGCCGCCGCCGGCAGTCAGCTGAGCCCCAACCACGCCAGCCGGCCGGCCGGAACAGGCGGCGCAACCATGTACGCCCCGCAGACGTGCTCCTGAGAGCCCTTCATGCTAAGGGCATGCCGTCACTAAGGTCCGAACAAGTGGTGATGGGTTTAGTCTGTTCTCAGGACAAATCCATTCGTTGGCTTCCGATTTCGGTGGCACCTCAAATGGCTGACATATGCAATTTGTTACACAATCCTCAACACTATCCCAGCATCAGGGTTGGCATTTTGGCCAGCTGAACATAGTCTCTTCCACTTAATAAACGTTGTTGTTAATTGGGCTTAAGGGCGCGTCGATATCTGCGGTCATTTTGCGCCCACCACTTCCTAATTGCCCCGGCATTTGTCCCTACCTATCCCGGTGTTTTCCCAGTAGTCAAGACAAACAACAGCACATTGATCCAGCAGCAGCGCGCACGCGATGCACGGTGTGTTCGCCGCAGCTGGTACGGAGGCTGGTACCCCAGCCTGTACCTGACGACCCGACTGTCTGGCCTGCGTGACGCGTGACAACCCCTGCAGCAGCGGCGACGCGCCACCACGCTGAGGTGGCAACGCGCCGCGGTGCTGTCGCTCGTGGTCAGCGTTCACACGGTGCGGACCGGCGGCGCGCCGTCGCAGTTCCCACCTCGACGGTGAGGAAGTAGTCCCGCGTCGCTTCGTAGTCGATGCACGGTGTCGTGCCGGGGTTCTGGCAGGGCGCCACCACCACCGTCCCCGTCCGCTGGTCGATGGTGAATCTGTCAGGGGGGGGGGGGTCAGTACAGAGACGGGGCGCCACCACCACCGTCCCCGTCCGCTGGTCGATGGTGAAACCGTCAGGGGGAGGGGTCAGTGCAGAGACAGGGCGCACAACACCGCGGAACGACCTACCGAGGCGATTGCGCAAACTCATAGTTGCTTCGCGCTAAAGACGGAGAGGGGGGGGGGGGGGAGGGGTTGCGAGGCACGCCTCACATCGCAGAGAAGGCTGCGCAAAACGAAACGTACAAATTTGTCACCTCACTGCATGAACCAAAAATGTCCTATTGACACGACTGGCCAGGATGCCACTGTTCAAGCGAAAACACCACGCGGCTAGGACCTGCCCCTCCGCCCCAGTCCACCGTGCTGGGGCCTCCACCCCAGTCCACCGTGCTGGGGCCTCCACCCGTCTTCCGTGCTGGGGCCTCCACCCCAGTCTTCCGCGCTGGGGGCTGCACATGGTCCCAGGGAGCACCCCTGCCGCCGGGTGCGGCAGGAGTCCGGCGGCCCCGCCGCCCAGCGGGGACACCGGGAAGGGCCTCACTTCTCGGCGCCGTCGCCGCTCAGCTGGTAAACGATGCCGTCCTTGCCGAAGAGCCCGGCGTCCCGGTCTGCCGCCGACACCGTGGTGATGATGGTGCCCGGCCGAGACATCTCCGACACCTGGCGGACAGACACCGAACCAACGGCTCAGACAGCTGGCGGTCAGATGACGAACCAACGGCTCAGCTGGCGGCCAGACACCGAACCGACGGCTCAGATACCCGGCGGTCAGACAACGAACCGACGGCTCAGAAACCCGGCGGCCAGACACCGAACTAAAGGCTCAGACATCCGGCGGTCAGACACCGAACGGACGGCTCAGATACCCGGCGGTCAGACACCAAGCCGACGGCTCAGACAGCTGGCGGTCAGACACTGAACCAACGGCTCAGACAGCTGACGGTCAGATGACGAACCAACGGCTCAGAAACCCGGGGCTCAAATAACGAGTCGACGGCTCAGACATGGGCGAATGCTAATGCGGAGCCCAGGCCTGCTCGTCGTCAGGGAGTGCATGTTTCAGACATTTCGGACACAGCACAGTGACACCTGGTCGAGTGCAGGTGTGTATGGCTGCCGGATGAAGCCGTGCGCGACATTGGCTTCAAGTCAGCCGACCGAAAGCTCAAGCAGACTATGCGCTTTATTGCAAGCGTGCTGGCTCCAGATCCTTCCCCTCTACCATTACTACGCATTTGCGCCGTGCCTTGTCTTCGTGGTCATTAGACATTTTCTCAGCATCATTCAGACCTGCGCTCCGCAAATCTGCATTCCCATGGGCAATGCTTGTCAGCTGACCGAGCTAGCCTCGACAGTGACGTCACCTGGCGCCGTGCCAGATTGCATCACCTGACCACACAGCTGCTGATTGGCCGCCGCCTTCTGACGTCACAGGCCGCTATAAAAGGCGACGGCGGCCGGCGGCCGGCGTCCTTCGCAGCGCTCACCGCTTCCAGCCGGCCGTCATGACCGACTGGAAGAGGGTCCTCTCGCTCGAGAAGATAGAATAACCCTCCCGACAGTGCATACTTCGATAATGTCGCGGTTCTCTCAGCCGTGATTGACTCTGGTCCCCGTCCCTCCGTGCAGCCCCGCAGTCGGCCATTCGGCCGCCCAGGGGTGGAGGGACACCCCGGGGACCTCTCGCCGCCGCCCGGGTCGGCCCGCGCGCTCGCTCCAGGCCAGGCCACTCGGGCGGGGGACAGGTCACCGGGGGTGGCGACGCGCCGCCACAGGTCACAGGCCCCGCCCGACGGTGGTAGCCAGCTGGAGGACGACCTGCCAGCTCCGAGACAGGGAAGGTAAGGAGTGAGCTAGAGGACGACCTGCCAGCTCAGAGATAGAGAAGGTAAGGAGTGAGCTGGAGGACAACCTGCCAGCTCCGAGGCAGGGAAGGTAAGGAGTGAGCTGGAGGACAACCTGCCAGCTCAGAGGCAGGGAAGGTAAGGAGTGAGCTAGAGGACGACCTGCCAGCTCAGAGACAGAGAAGGTAATGAGTGAGTTGGAGGACGACCTGCCAGCTCCGAGGCAGGGAAAGCAAGGAGTGAGCTGGAGAACAACCCGCCAGCTCCGAGGCAGGGCAGGTACGGAGTTTGTTTGTAGTGGTTCTGTTGTCCACTGCCGTCACAAACTTATTGCCGGAGTGATATTTGCTGCTGGTATCTCTGCGCTGGAGAAAAGGCAAACTCCGTTGGCATTTGTTGCTAAACAATGATGGAAAACGCGTGGCAAGTCGCTCCTCTTGTAGGCCGACCCTCTAGGGAACTCGAAGCCCGCATGTACCGCCTGACGCCTCGAGGCGACGACGCGCCGGGCGCGGGCACCCACCTGGGCCACATAGGCTTCCTGGCTGAAGTGGGGCGGGTTGTCGTTGAGGTCGCTGACGGTGACGGTGACGGTGGCGGTGGAGGCCAGCTTGTCGGCCGTGTGCAACTCCTGGGCCACCAGCTGTGGGCAGGCGGGCGGGTCCGGTCAGCGGCGCCAGCGCCGCGACCCCGGCGGCCGACGCCGTTTCCGGGGAGGTCCGCCTCGCCGGAGACGCGGCACCGCGAGGGTGGGGGTGCAGCACCTCCGGCTGCATCATCTCCTGAGACCGTCACGGTTTGCCAAACACGGCACCGAAACGTCCAGCCGCCCCATCCGTTGGCAGGTAGTGCGGATTCGAGGGGTTTCATCTCACGCACGATAAACACCAGACTTTTCTCGGAGGCTTATCAAACACATTTACACTGCCGTTCATTCTCAACGGCATTCTCGCATTCCACGCCTACGCCAGCCCGTCCGAGTCATTCACTGAGTGCACGGACAGAGTTCACACAAGCCCCGAAGTATGCCATGCACAGCACCAGTGGGGCCATCCAGACCCTCGCGGCGCGCCGGCCAACACCCCGGCCGGCGGCGGCCGCGCCGCCGCGCCACCGCCGCCTCCGCCGTCCGGCCCCACTCACCAGCAGGATGAACTTGCGCTGGTTGGGGTTCTCGTAGTCGAGCGGGCCGCGCGCCAGGCGCACGCTGACCGCGCTGCTGCCGCTGCCGGTCGCCGGCTCCACGGTGAACGTGCCGGACTCGTCCAGCAGGCGGACGCCGAAGGCGCTGCTCACGCCCTGGAAGCGTCACCGGGTGGTGATGGACGCCCGCTTCGAGGGGCCGGGTAATGAGGAGTCGGGACTCTACCATCGGTGTCCGCGTGACGTGTCGGTTTGGGGGGAGGCGGCTGGAACGATGACCCCACGGGGAGTTTGCTCCACCCTGGCATGTGGTTTGCTCATCTTTCCTGACTGTTAACAACATCTGATGACAGTGAAGATGACGCAGGCGCCGTGCAGAGGCTGCTGTGAGCCTTCGCACAGACGGTGCGAGATTCCCAGCGGTGCGCCAGTCAAGCCCAAGTACATACCACTGAATACACACAAAGCTGCCCAGGTGGTGACGAGCGGCGGGCGACCCAACGCCACCAATCTAAGCAGGCACCGGCACCCCGGCCACACTTCGCACCAGCCAGCCCCGCTCGACTACCGGCGCTCCTCGGCGGACTTCCGTGGCGCCCGGCACCTCCGCAGCGGCGCCTGGCACCTCCGCAGTGGCACTGGTACCCCCGCAGCGGCGCCTGGCACCCCCGCAGCGACGCCTGGCACCTCCGCAGTGGCGCCCGGCACCTCCGCAGTGGCACTGGCACCCCCGCAGCGGCGCCCGGCACCCCCGCAGTGTCACTGGGACCCCGGCAGCGGCGCTGGCGCCACCACCGGCCGGTACCCACCACGTCGGCGTCCGTGACGACGATGTTGAGGTCGGGCAGCGGCGTGCCGTCCCGCAGGTTCTCGCTAATGGTGGTGGCGTACTCCTGCGGTGGCGGGCGGCGCGGCCGTCAGCGGGGCCGACGTACACACGGCTGGCGGTGGGAGAGCCGCCAGAGGGCGACGACTGGGAGGGAGCCATCGGCTATGGGGCGGCGCTGACTCACACACGGTCGGCGGCGGAAGCACCGCCAGAGAGCGAGGCTGGGAGGGGGTCACCAGCTATGGGGGCCAGCATCCAGTAGGTATGCATCCTAAAACGAGTATCCTCTTCCCACAGTTACTTAACACCTTCTATGCCAACCTCACTGCTGATTTAGTCATTCGGTGTATTGCACGCCTCTTTAGCGGGCAGTTGTGGCCTCTCGCGCTAAAAAATGTCCTTCCTTTGCATGCAACCCGTTTTGTTTGTAGGAAATCAAAGTTCCTGTATATTTCTGGCATGGTTATGTAGCGGCATTGAGTTACACAGCACGTGCTTTTTGGTCATGTTGGTATTCTCAGCTGACAATGACCTGAGCTCGTCTCAGTGGTGCTCGCTGTCTGTAACATGACCCCTTCTCAGTGGTGCTCAATGTCTGTGCCCTGAAACCGTCTCAGCGATGTTCGCTGTCGGTGATCTGAGATCGTCTCAGTAGTGCTCGCTGTCTGACCTGAGCCCATTTCAGCGGTGCTCACTGTCTGTGACCTGAGACCGTCTCAGTGGTGCTCAATGTTTGTGACCTGAACCCGTCTCAGTGATGTTCACTGTCTGTGACCTGAGCCTGTCTCAGCGGTGTTCGCCGTCTGACCTGAGCCCGTCTCAGTTGTGTTCACTGTCTGACCTGAGACCGTCTCAGTGCTGTTCAGTGCTCACTGCTGGAGCTGTTCTCACCTGCCGGCTGAAGCGGGGTGGCTCGTCGTTGGCGTCCTTAACTGTGATGGTCAGGTCAGCCGAGGTCTCCGTCAGAGGGCCGTATAGACGGCGGCCTGCCTCCACCTCCACCGCCTGACGACCCGACACACAGCCGTCACAGGAGTGCCACACAGCCACCTCCACCGCCTGACGACCCGACACACAGCCGTCACAAGAGTGCCACACAGCCACCTCCACCGCCTGACGACCCGACACACAGCCGTCACAAGAGTGCCACACAGCCACCTCCACTGCCTGACGACCCGACACACAGCCGTCACAGGAGTGCCACACAGCCACCTCCACTGCCTGACGACCCGACACACAGCCGTCACAAGAGCGCCACACAGCCACCTCCACCGCCTGACGACCCGGCACACAGCCGTCACAGGAGTGCCACACAGCCACCTCCACTGCCTGACAGTCGTCACACACTCGTCACACAACCGTCACACAGCCATCACAGAGCTTTCACACGACTATGGAGCTACGCTCCCAGATGCAGCACACAGCTACAGCAGCAGTCGCATCCGTCGCCGCCTGCACCGGTCCGGCAGGCGGCCGTGGGCAGGCGACAGCCGGCCGGGCACAGCCGGCGGCGGCGGGGGCACGCTCCGCCCATGCAGCCGACTCGGCCGCTGCCAGCAACGCGCCCGCACGGAATACCGTGAAGGAAACCTGCCGCCACGCGGCTCAAATATGCGTCTCATTAATGTTTTGATCTCGACGAAGAAGGTGTGCGCCGGTGGCTGCGGGTGAGCGGCCGTCGGTTACCTTGACACTGAGGTGGATGGCGCCAGCCTTCACCAGACTGGACTCGCGGTCCAGCCGCTTGGCTGTCACGATCGCGCCGCTCGTCTCGTCCAGCGAGAAAAACTCGCCCGGGTCTGCCGGGCGGACGGGAGTCAGGTCATGGGCCGCCAGACCGGGCCTGCCAAGCGGACAGGTGTCAGGTCGCGGGTCGGCAGACCGGGTGCGCTGCCGGCCGGACAGGCGTCAGATCACGGGTCAGCAGACCGGGTCTGCCGGGCGGACGGGCGTCAGGTCACGGGTCAGCAGACCTCGCACGCCACGACCCAGGCACGGCCGCCTGTGCATAGGAGTAGGACGGTCGACCTCGGAGTCGGCGGAGGGGGAAGGGGATGAGGCGCGAGTACCGTCAGACACGAACGGGAGTGCTGTGATCGTTGCGCTAACGGGATAGGCGATGGTCAAACCCAAACTGCCCGTCGCAGTACCGGGATAGGCGATGTTCAAACTTCTCACGGAGGCGGGGGAGGGCATCGGGTTTCATACCAGCACATCAGGAAGGCTGTGGTTCCGGACGTACCGCGCGGCGCTGTCAGTGTGAGGACAGACAGGCGACAGCCGACACACGGAGTCAGGATACGGGACACCTGGAACGCCTCCAGGGGAACGGCATAGAACACGGGCAGCACGACCGTCTGCCGCCCTCACAGGCGACGGCCGACACAAGGAGTCAGGACACGAGACACCTGTAACGCCTCCAGGGGAACGGCATAGAACACACGCACCACGGCCGTCCGCCGCCCTCACAGGCGACAGCCGACACAAGGAGTCAGGACACGGGACACCTGGAACGCCTCCAGGGGAAGGGCATAGAACACGGCCAACACGGCCTCCAAAGACAGCATGCTGAACACGTCACTCTGCGGAGGTATTGCGTCGCACAACCGACACCTGGCCCGTCAGGTCCCCGGATACAGTGTGCTGGGCGACTTCAATCAAATGGGACACGCGGCGAGCGTTTCAATGCAGGCTTCGGTATCGTGCAGTGTACGGAATCTTACCATTTTTAACCATCGTGAAGGGAAAGGCATGTCACCCAAGAAAGAAAGCGTACAACACTGGCCAGCGCATCTTAGTACCCAATTAGTAAATCCAGCAGAGCCCATCACCTCACCTGGCCGCCTGCTCGCCTGGCTGCACGTGCCAAATGACGCTTTGCAACTACCACTTCAATAATTTAAAAAAAAACGAATATCGGTATAGTGTTACACGTGCCGATGCATTTCAAAACGGATTACTAACCTTCCAACCACTCCTCCGGCACGTTCGACAACTGGCCGTACAAAAATAATATTCTGACGTCAATGAGGGCTGACATGCATCCATCGCAGGCATGTCTAAGTGCAATGTCACGCTACATGCACTGACCACGCGCCAGCGTCATCCTCGAGTACGGGAAACCCTAGGTGAACAGTCCGGTACTCAAGCCCCTCTCCATTCCATTCCCATACCGATCCCTCACTACTACGTTACAGCACCGGCCTACATCCTGTCCTACCACTACGCCACCAAGCTCCGCCCCTCCCAGCCCGCCGAGGACCGCTGTGCCGCGCGGCCCGCCGGCCCGCCACTCACTGGTGACCAGCTCGAACACCACGGGTCGAGCGGCTCCCGTGTCGCCGTCGGCGGCCGTCAGCGTCATCACCGGCGAGCCGATGGCGGCGCCCTCGTCCACCACCGCCGTCCGGCTGCCCGAGAACACCGGGCCGACGTTCTGCACGTCCTGCACCAGCACCAGCACGCGCGCCGACGCGTTGTACTTGCCGTCCTGCCGGGCGACACACGGGGACTCAGCGGCCGCTGCCGGTCGGGCGTTCGGGGCGCAGCGAGCGGCTTAGGGCGGCCGCGCGCGCTCCTGGTGACGGTCGTCATGGATGCCTGGCGTCACACGCTGACAGACGCTGGGTGAGCGCCTGGGGTTAGTGCTGGGTGTGCTGCTGGGGGTGCTGCTGGGGGTGCTGCTGGGTGTGCTGCTGGGAATGCCGCTGGGTGTGCTGCTGGGTGTGCTGCTGGGGGTGCTGCTGGGGGTGCTGCTGGGTGTACTGCTGGGTGTGCTGCTGGGTGTGCTGCTGGGGGTGCTGCTGGGTGTGCTGCTGGGTGTGCTGCTGGGGGTGCTGCTGGGGGTGCTGCTGGGTGTGCTGCTGGGTGTGCTGCTGGGTGTGCTGCTGGGTGTGCTGCTGGGGGTGCTGCTGGGGGTGCTGCTGGGGGTGCTGCTGGGTGTGCTGCTGGGGGTGCTGCTGGGTGTGCTGCTGGGTGTGCTGCTGGGGGTGCTGCTGGGTGTGCTGCTGGGGGTGCTGGGCATCGCCCGGACCACACGGCTGGTGGCGGCCATGCCCTCCGGCCGAGGACATCTGGCCGTGACCTGACCGTGGCCAGACCTGGGCCGGAGTCGGGGCTGGAGCCGAGGCCAGGGTCAAGTGGAGCTGACAGGCGAAGACACGGAGGACGCGCGCCCGGTAATCTGCTGTAGCCATATTACGTCATTATCAACAGCTGTGTGCATTATCAACAGCATTATCAACAGCCAGCACAGGCATAGCGGGGAAGCCACGCAGTGGAAGCACCGCCACATCGCCGTTTGGGCAAGCCACGCTTCTCACCCCTACCTCTACTGAGACGAGTCCTACGCCATCTTCTCACCGCTCCCTGGCTCGTCCTCTCACCGCTGTCCGTGTCAGCCCAGGCCCGTCCTCTCACCACTCTCCATGTCAGCCCAGGCCCGTCCTCTCACCACTGTCCGTGTCAGCCCCGGCCCTTCCTCTCACCGCTGTCCGCGTCAGCCCCGGCCCCTCCTCTCACCGTTGTCCGTGTCAGCCCCGGCCCTTCCTTTCACCGCTGTCCGCGTCAGCCCCGGCCCCTCCTCTCACCGTTGTCCGTGTCAGCCCCGGCCCTTCCTTTCACCGCTGTCCGCGTCAGCCCCGGCCCCTCCTCTCACCGTTGTCCGTGTCAGCCCCGGCCCTTCCTTTCACCGCTGTCCGCGTCAGCCCCGGCCCCTCCTCTCACCACTGTCCGTGTCAGCCCCGGCCCTTCCTTTCACCGCTGTCCGTGTCAGCCCCGGCCCCTCCTCTCACCGTTGTCCGTGTCAGCCCCGGCCCTTCCTTTCACCGCTGTCCGCGTCAGCCCCGGCCCTTCCTCTCACCACTGTTTGTGTCAGCCCCGGCCCCTCCTCTCACCACTGTCCGTGTCAGCCCCGGCCCTTCCTCTCACTGTCAGCGTCAGCCCCGGCCCCTCCTCTCACCACTGTCCGTGTCAGCCCCGGCCCTTCCTCTCACTGTCCGTGTCAGCCCGCCCCGTCCTCTCACCACTGTTTGTGTCAGCCCCAACTCGTCATCTCACCACTGTCCGTGTCAGCCCCGGCCCTTCCTCTCACTGTCCGTGTCAGCCCCGGCCCGTCCTCTCACCACTGTTTGTGTCAGCCCCAACTCGTCATCTCACCACTGTCCGTGTCAGCCCCGGCCCTTCCTCTCACTGTCCGTGTCAGCCCCGGCCCGTCCTCTCACTGTCCGTGTCAGCCCCGGCCCGTCCTCTCACCACTGTTTGTGTCAGCCCCGGCCCGTCCTCTCACCACTGTCCGTGTCAGCCCCGGCCCTTCCTCTCACTGTCCGTGTCAGCCCCGGCCCGTCCTCTCACCACTGTTTGTGTCAGCCCCAACTCGTCATCTCACCACTGTCCGTGTCAGCCCCAGCTTGTCATCTCACCACTGTCCGTGTCAGCCCCGGCCCGTCCTCTCACCACTGTTTGTGTCAGCCCCGGCCCGTCCTCTCACCACTGTCCGTGTCAGCCCCGGCCCTTCCTCTCACTGTCCGTGTCAGCCCCGGCCCGTCCTCTCACCACTGTTTGTGTCAGCCCCAACTCGTCATCTCACCACTGTCCGTGTCAGCCCCAGCTTGTCATCTCACCACTGTCCGTGTCAGCCCCGGCCCGTCCTCTCACCGTGGCCAGCAGTGTGGCGCTGATCTGGCGGTTGACCTCAGCCGACAGCAGCAGCGGCCGCTGCAGCACCAGCGAGCCGACGAACACCTGAGACGTGGACTCGGCCGGCACCACCGCCAGCACCTGACACGCCTCGGGCGACTGGTGACACACAGAGACAGAGGTGACACAGGACACCCAGTCGGCACCGCTGCTAGCACCCCACTCGCCTCGGGCGGCTGGTGACGCACAGAGGTGATGATGGACAAACACCCGGAGGTTTTCAGTTATTCAGCAGCTGTGGTTGCACCACACTATTCAGTGGTGTTCGAGCACGCCAGGAAAGCAACAGGGTCACATTGCCCACTTTACAGACATCCTTTACTATATGACACTGGGGCTTCACAACACACTCAGCTGCTGAGACTACATGACATTGCCAGCCTCTCACCCTGGCAGCAATGGTGGGCACTGCGGGGAATCGAACCCCGTACATCTTATTTACATGGCACACAGCCGAACCACTGCACTACTGGCATTCTTTCCTACGTTCTAAAAGTAGTGAATACCCCATAATTATGATACAGTTCACGAGCTTGCCCTTAGAAATGTGGTTATCAGCAGTTTTACTGACGTGACACTACTACCATTATCACAAAGATCACCATCACCGCCACACTGTGACCCTCTTCACTACCGACATGACGCACCGCCCGCCCTGGTGGGCGTCTCACCGATCTGGCGGCGTCGCAGGTAACGTTGAGGTTCTCGCCGACCAGGTCCGGGTCAGAGACTTCGATTCGGCTGATCACAGCGCTACCAACAGCCGCGTCCTCCCGCAGCTCCGCCTCGTGCAGTTCCTGACAGGGGGTCAGACCCGGGTCAAGGCAGGTCAGGGCAGGTCAGGGAAGGTCAGGGCAGGTCAGGGAAGGTCAGGGCACAGGGCACATGCACAAGGACAGTGCATGCCATGTCCTCCCACAGCTCTGCTTCATACAGCTCCTGTCAGCAGGTCACACTTAGGCCAGGGCAGGTCAGGACAGGTCAGGGCAGTTCATACCAGCCCAACAGTGTAACCTCTTACCAGCCCCCCCCCCCCCCGAGGTGAGACCGGCTTGTCAGCCCCAACCGCCGCTGCCGCGCCGACGGTACAGTGGCGTCATCCTCCAATAATTGGTGGCGATCTGGAATGCCCTGGGTTCATTCTATCCACACGGTAATCACATATGCATGATGATCACACAAATGACCTGAAATAACAAAACTACAGGGGTACTGCTCTGTGCCTCTCCTCTCAAGCTGCGTGACATCCATCCTTGGCTAGTGGAAGTGAGGCATGTTCACAGGAGCTCCAAACATTATAAGTTGCTTGTCTGGTGGATGTAAGTGCTCAGCAAAGCACAGGGATACCATAGGAGCAGGCTTGCACAAAAGAGCACCAAAACACTGACCTTCTTGAAGTGTGGCTCATTGTCATTCTCATCCACTATGATGACAGTGATGGGGACTGTGATGACGTTGTTCTCGCCGCCCTCCACCCGGTCCTCCAGGGTCACCTCCAGCTTCAGGGTGGTCATCGCCTGCAAACCAGCCCAAGTAAGATCAGAGCAGGCCTGCTGGTGCAGACAGCCCTCTGCTCCCCAGGCCAAATGGCAGCAGCCAGCACATCAAACACTCGGGGTTTGGAAGTTAATAAGCCAGTAGCAGTACAACTCACGAGCAAATGTTGTTCAACAAAACACAGAGACATGACCGTGTTACAAACATCCAGCAGCTCTGACTTCAAACTAAATGAAACAGACCATGTGTCAGGCAACACACTCCATCCTCCAACTGGATGAGGCACAATCTTGCCCCAGATGGCAAGAGGACTGGAGGACTTGACTTGAGAGGACTTGAGAGGACTTGCACAAGCAGGACTGCACTAGTGAGTCAGCTGGCCAGCCTGCAGGATGAACTGACAAACCTCATGATCGATCCTCTTCTGGACAGAGACGACGCCCGAGCGCGGGTTGACCTGCAGAATGTCGGTGCCCTGCAGGCCGTACACCAGGTCCGAGCCCTCTGGGTCTGAGCCTGCAGACAGGACAGTCACCAGTAATGCCTGGCAGGTCTACTGTACTGAACAGGATGCAGTGCTGTGCTGGGTGCTGATCTCTCTTTGGAGGATTAAAACAGAATGGCAGGCTGAGCCTTAAAATTACCATAGGGTATGACTGTTAGCATGATGCATTACTGGTGTTCCTGCATCCCCTATGAGTGAAAAAGCTATGCGTGAATAATTTGTCTGGGACAAATGGTGCATCATGAATGAGACAGGACAAAGCAGCAGCTAATGACGGAGCAGCAGCTGATGACATCACTTTTATAAAGTCATTGCGGATGAGACCATCAAGCAAACACACAAAAACATGGCCAATTCAATTATTATTGTACACAGATGTTAAGTATAACTTATGGCAGCACCTCAGGACAGACACAAGTTTGTTCAACATACCCTGTAGAGTATACACCTCCTTCCCCACTGCTGTGTTTTCAGATATCACATGGTAGTCCATATTCTTCACAAACTGAGGTGGCTCATTGCCAGCCACCACAGCCAGCAAGCTCATCAGGAAAATACTGGTAAATGAGTCCATCCTGAAAGACAATCATCCCACACCTTAGACATAAGGTACTGTAGAAAACATTGAAACACCTACCATTTGTGACCATCATTCATTGCAAATATGCAAGACACTAAATCATTTAAATGAGCAAATTGTGAGGCAAAAATAGTTCAGATAAGACAATACCATCTGAAGATTTTTATAAACAAATACTATTATATTATGTGTGGATTGCATGATAGTACCTGAATATTCTTATACATTCTAGCAGCCTGATATTCATGAACAGCTTCAGGTGACAAGATGTGAAACACCAGGGGGCAAAATACTATGCCTGAATGCTTCCCAAAGCAGGATTACAGACAAGCATTACTTCATAAATTACCTTAAAATGCCTGAAAAGGCCCAGCACAGGTTGGGCACATTCAGCAGCATGAGGAACCATTAAGCCAAATGTGACAAGGCTGCATACACTTTGCAAAACTAGAAAACTGATGAAACAAAGAGGTCAGAATTCTGGATGACAGATCTTTTTTGTCATGGCATTAGACCTGGGTATATTAGCAGATGCATACATTCCATGTGAATCAGAATTTTGATACACATTTTTTAACCTTGGCTTTTTTTAGGTAATCACTACAGCTGTCTGGTCATTACAGTCTGTCTGGGTGGCTCAGTTGGTTAGAGCACCTGCCTCCCAATGGGTGGGGTGGGTTCAGGCCGCTTTAGGCGCTCGCCACTTGTCTTTGACAGGTATGGCCCGGGGCCGGTGGCAGTGGTTGCTGTAGAGGTCAGTTGACATCAGAGGGCAGGACAGATGGTGCTGAGCATGGCAGCACATTAAGCTTTTGCCACTAAATTCTGCTCTTGCCTGGAATTGTGCCATCCGATGGTAGTGGTCAGGGCTCACACAACAAACACTGCTTAGTGCTTAGCATGAGCTCTGGTCCCAGAAGGCCATCCATTCAAAGCATTTGGATCAAATTTCTAAAAAATAAATAAATGGAGATGCTTTATCTTCACTTATCATACATCCATGTGGAATGAGGCACCAGGGTCACTATCAAAACCAGAAGAGCAATTTCTTGCTTCTCCCAGATTTACAGCATGATTTAACCTATAGCACAATGACAACAATTTTAAATACTCCTTTTACCATAGATAAAAATGACAAGTCCTTTAAACTAACACATTTTCAAACCCAACCTGCCAATACCTCCTGACACACCTCTCCAACCAATATACTTATCCAGCTCAACAACAGGGGTACTGATGGTGTGGTGATTACATTAAGCATCTGGGAAACCAGAGGCAAGGGATTTTATCAACCACAGCCTCAACAGCTGAGTATGTCATAAAGCCCAATGGTGCACACCAGCTTGACAATGATATCACGCTATTGCAGAAACCAAATACAACATCGGTCAATGCACACATACATAATTTGTGCACAAGGCTGGGCTGCAAATGATGCAAGATAGGCCTGAATGGAAAAAACATATTCTGAGCAATCCGAGTGTGACTTACCCCAACTCGTGGCAGTAATACGTTCAAACTTCCACTTGTTTATCCAAAAATCCAGTTGCGGCCAGGGCGTCTTCAGAAGAAATGATCAGCCTTCACAACTACGTGCGAAACTACTGCTTAGCTTCGCATGTTTGGTAATTGTACCAACTAAAATAAAAAAAAATTATGAATGGGGGTCAAATGTCCGGTTCAACTCATGACACAAATATCTGGGGAGTCCCGATTTCGCGACCCTCCCTCTCTCATCGCACTGTCATCTGTTGCTATTCTTAAGGGCGTCAACAAACCAGTTCAATCGGCCTTGGGGGACGTTTCGCAGTTACATGAATATTTGTCGCACTGAGTAAGCTGCAGCTTCCCAAAATATCATGCTACCAAAAAGTAATGCGCCACTTTCTGTCACAAAAGCGTAAGAATGCTATACATGCAACGTCAACGACCTCGTAATTTCCATATTCTTGTACCGTTAGTCGGTCATTTCGCATATCCAAACTAAAGTACAAAATTGCGGTTGAAGCTGAATGCACTGAGATTTAGACCTAAGTGTAATCGAGGCATAATCACAACAAAGTGTAAGGAATGCTGCTGGTGAAGACCTTTACCGGTGTGATCACCAAGACCCGCATTGATAACGTTACTGGGTTGTTAGGGCCAGAAAGGATGAGGTCCATTGAAACCACATTTTCTCGTCATTGAATGTCGTAACATTACAGTGATCATAACGAGCACCTTGCATTGTCAAACAGCATTACACAACGCGAGGAATATCGTATCAAATCAACCCGGGCGAAAGAGACCGGACCAGAAAGTTTTCTTATCTTATAAACATATGGTAGCTGGCATTTGTTACTATCACGGCGCATGCTATTTCGTGGGTAGGTAAGGTAAACAGTGGGCGTGTGTGTGTTGGGCGTAGAGGGGTGGGGCCGTGCGTGAGGCGTTGAGGTTGCGCATCATGTAACTGTCGCGTCATCTTGCACTTGGAATGGCGGTGCAGGTGGCTGTGTAAAATGTCCTTTGTGCCCAAGCTCACCGAGTGGGCAGGGTGGTTATCTCAGCCATGGGCGCATGCACGCCGATTAGATTTGGTGTCAGTAACAATCTGCAAGAAATTCATACATAAGTCAATTAATTTCATTTGATGCGCATTGCTGCGTAGGTGCTGGGCACTTAAATAACATACATTTTCTGATCCTGGTGCCTGTGTTCCATGAGCTCAGGCCAGGCTGCTCTAAATTTTTTACTTATTTGGACACATGTATTTCTTTTGCATGAGTAGTGTGTTGGGGACCTTAGCCCCAAATTGCCTTCAAAACATCTAAGCCCCCTGAAACATTGGCTTGCTATGCAGTGGAATGGGGGAGGGGTCATGGTGTGCCAAATTCTGGATTGGCACACCAGGGCACTAAGCCACAAGGTGTGCATGTGCTGACATTTTTTGCAGGGTTGGTGCTATACATTAAAAATGTCCTTTAATATGTATTTGTCTAGTTTGGTGCTATGAGGAGGACTGAGCATAGGGATATGACTATGCCTAGCCCTCAAGATCCTTTGCAAACATGTTTTTTGTCAGGATTTTGTTCACTACATATAAAATTAGACACTGGAGCCTCTTCTGCTGAATATGAGGTGCTAATAGTTAGACGTGCCTGTTACCTGCTCTCCTAACAATGAATGCTGCATTGATAATCAGCAGCAGCTCTCCATGTAATAATGTGTATTTTGTTTCAGGGAGACAGTGCACTTCTTCTGTATGTAACCAGCGTTCTGGAGGTGTTCACCTGACAACAAAGTATTATCATTCCTTTTAACTCAACACATTATGGGCTCAGCAGATGGCTCACTTACTCTGGTAATCCAGCATAGTAAGTATGGTGTGAATGTGAATTGTGTATTGTGGCTGATTTATGTGCAGTATAGCCAGGGCCTTGATATGTCTCCATTTAAGAAATCCAAAGATCATTTAGTATTGATTATCTGCCTGCTATATGCGTACAAGGCAATGTTAGGGACTTTCAAAACTTATTAAGATGAGTTAAAGTATGCAAATCCTGGCTTTGTGTGAGGTAAGAAATCAAGTAATCTCAAAATGATGTGTATTAAAGCTGGCTCATGTTTAAAATTTGCTCCCATTTCAGTGGGCAAGAAAGAACTAGTGACATTTCAAACAAGCACCACTCTCAGGGAGTTCCAACAGAAGGTTGAGGAGATGACCAAGGTTCCAGCATCTGTCCAGAAGGTTGTGCACAGGTATAGAGCAGCAGTGGCTGTCTGGCCACCTGTCATCTTGTCTGTCCAGCCTGTCTGGTCTGGCTGACTGGCTGCCTGCCTGCCTTGTCTGTCCAACCTGTGTGGTTTGACCAGTCAAGCATTGATAAAGAGCAGGATCATATGAAGGACTGTGACAGCACTGTGTGCCATGTGGCACTGGGGGGTCTTGATGCAATATAACCAGGCTGCCAGGCCCAGTCCCCCTGAACCATCTGCCTTTTCAGGGGTCGGGATTTAGCCAGGAACGATCCTGACATCACCCTGGATGACTGCCGAGTCAGGCATAAAGACATCCTGATGATTCTGGGTAAGTACCACACTGCTTTTGAGCTACTGTGGATATCTCCTTTGAACCCATATGGAGCATCTCAGCAACATTAACCCTCCAAACCAGCTCTTCTTACCACACTCAGGATATATTGTGCCATGTTCAAGGCCTACAACATGTTCACCCACAAAGCCCTGACCAATGGTTGAGCAACATTGTAGTGGTATGGTTCTTCGGGCTTGCTGTAGTGTACTGGCATTTCCAGGCATTACGTACATTTCTAGCACATATATGAATGGTACATCATATCTCACGCAGGCTGTAAAAGGTATGCCCCCACATGGTGACTGGAGGCCTAGTAACTTGCGCTAACCGCGGCGGTTTCACAGTTGCCTAGATCTTGAGATACATGGCCTACAGCTTGTTTCTAATTGGCTGGACTGCGAACCATGTGGCCGGTATGTGAGTGACCTTGACCTGCAGGTCAGCTTGAGGACCCGGTGCGGGACGAGACGCTGGCGACCGTCTGTGACGTGCATACGTGTGACCTTGACCTGCAGGTCGGCCTGAGGACCCGGTGCGGGACGAGACGCTGGCGACGATCTTTGACCTGCATACGTGTGACCTTGACCTGCAGGTCGACGCGAGGATCCGGTGCGGGACGAGATGCTAGCCGCCATCTGTGACCTGCATAGTGTAACCTTGACTTGCAGGTCGGCCCGAGGACCCGGTGCGGGACGAGACGCTGGCGGCCATCTGTGACCTGGAGACCCAGGCGGAGGCGGTCGTGGCGCGGCTGGATGCTGTGTGCGGCGACATGGATGGCATGAAGAAGGTGCGCTGGGTCGTGGACATCATAGAGTCCGTACCATTTTGGTAGTCTGTTTTTTTTCTTCTCCCCAGCTGCTTTTTTGAAGGGTGTCTTGTACAAAATGATCCATAAATAGGAGGGAGGATCAGAAGGGGATGTAAGCTGCATGCCTACCAGACTGAACAGTAGTTTGGGTTGGACAATTCGGTAGTGCTTCCTGATGGCTTCAATTTGAATAGCATCTTAAAGGTAGTATGAGTTATTGGACATCTGGACCAGGCTGGGTAGAGTAGGGTGTGTTACCATACAGTAAGTGATCCCGCGATCGTCGGCGTGTTGGCTGTCGCACGTGACCGATATGGTACCTCACTTCTGCTCACGGTGGTTTCGAAAATTTCCAAATATTTTGCAAATGGCAGTAGTCCTCCAGTGGAATAGCTTATGGCCGTTTTAGAGAAAGATTTAGACATACGTCTGATTCCCCGCTGCGCCCGAACTAACAGTGCGCGCGCTTAACTTCCGGAGTTATATCTTCAGCACCAAAAGCTAGATTTGTCCACGCCTTTTTGGTGGTATGTTGGCATTGTCGGGCTTGGCGACGCCGTATTGCTAATATGAACTCTACTAATGCCTTGAATTGGTGCCGCCACTCGTTCTCCCCCCCCCCCCCCCCCCGCCCCCTCTCCTCTCTCCCAGTCCTCCGCGTGTGGCGCGTGAGGCGGGCGCCGTCTGACCGCCGTGCTCCGGTCCGACAGGGCTTCCTGCCGGCGGCGCTACAGAGCGAGACGCGCGGCCGGCTGGAGCGCCGCCTGGCGGCTGTCTCCGAGGAGCTGATGCGCCTGCTGGAGCGGCTGGACGCGCTGAGCGTGCAGCAGAGTGCGCCCGAAGTGCGGCGCAAGCGCAAGGCCGTGGTGACCGCCATCAGCACGCAGATGGACCGGGCCGACGCCGTGCGGGCGGCGCTGGCTGAGCGGGGCTCGTAGCGGGCTGGGACGGCCGCGCCACCGCCCGCCCCGCACACCGAGACCGAGATCGGCCCGGGTCGGCCCGGCTCGCTGCACCGAGACGGGCCGTACCGGCTCGAGGTGTCCGCACCTCTCCCACGTCCGTCCTGTCGGTTCTCTGATTGTTACATCGGGTGGGGTGGGGTAAGGGGCCACTCCGCCCTCTCCCCTCGCGTGTTGGCTCGGCCGTGGCTTCTCTGGGCCGGCCGTTCACGACCTCCCCCGTCATGCAGCCCCGGTCGTCCCGACTCTGTGGCCGGGCGCCGCCCGGCTCGTCCGCCGCGCCGCGGCCTCGGTCGTGGCGGTTCTGGCGGCGGCGGCCGGCGGTGTGGACTGCAGGCAGCTGTGTGGCGACGGTAACCGCGGCGTCCGGCGAGGACGGCTGTGCGCTGTCCGGACAACTGCCGTGTACAGGGCACTGGTGGTACCGCTCCGACCTGGGACCGGGACCGGAGCCGTGTGCGCCCTCTGTTCGGTGTCGGCGCTGGAGGGCATTGTGATCTGGCGGTGGTGTTGCTGGTGGCGGCGCGGCCTTCTCTGGTGCGCGACGGGCGTTGGGTGTGGTGATTGGTGTTCACCACGCGTGCGCTCGTCAGTCACCATCTGCGCTCGGGTGGCAGGGTGTCTATGTGTTTGTGTGTATGTTTAGTTCTGCGCTCTAACGAACACGCTCCGAATCAGGCATCTGCAAACTGTTCAAGAACGATAATTCCAGATTCGCTGCTTCAGTGAATGTCAGTTGGGACGCAAACAATCTCAGAACGGCAGAAGTCGTCCACCGCGCCAAAGTGCGAAATTTACTGCACCTCACTCTCATTCCACACGGTTCATATGTTGCTACTGTCGTAAGACGTCTAGAGATCGCATCATTTCTGATCATATACTGGAGGCAGCTGGCGGACCAGACGGGGCGCCGCTGACCGCGTCGGGCTGGTGTCTGTCGTGGTGCAGATGCACCCCAGCGGCTCTCCCAACAGGGCACAACACATCTACCATTCGTTAGAACATGGCAGTGCAGGTCGGACGAGGTGACTGGGCTCGCCCGTGCCGGGGACCGGCGTAACTCACCGGCGTAATGCTTTATGAAATACGGCCACGGGTAACTGCCGCAAATCGCGGCGTGCATACTACATGCGTACTGTAACATATCGACGTAACGCTTTATGAAACATGGCCACGGGTGACAGCCACTTGGCTTCTTGCCCACGGCCACGGGTGACGAAGAGCGCCGCGTGCATACTACATGTGTGATGGCTAGTGGCGTCGTGGTTACGTCCCACGTGGGCCTGAAATCGTGCAGTGTGACGATAACAATGCCAAGCGACTCGAAATACAGGACGACGGTTTGGACCAACTTGTGTGTAGTGCCCCGCCACAACGGGAGTCGTGCTATGAGCGTGTGTGCCTGGGCTAGATGGACTGTGATAGCAATGGACTGTGATACGAATATCCTAGTTGCAGGAAATGCTTCCGTAGCTGTGTAAATGACGGGGGTCTTGCAACGTGTCGCAAAGAACTGGCTTATAATAGCGTGTTTCGAGTCCAAAAATACTTTTGAATGCGAAGCCTTAGTAAAGCTGTCTAACGCGGCATGGCTACATTGTGTGAAGGGTCTTCGCTAGCGGTGATGAGCAGAATCCGATGATCGAAACTCGTTTCAAGCTCGCATGGAACGTTCGTGTGACGAGGACGTGGAAGATGCTCTATGCAGCCGATGGCGTACGGTCGACGTACGAACGCGTTTATGGAAAACTCAGTTTCAAATCCCATCTGAAAAATGAAACGAACCTTTCAAGCAAACTTGGGAGTTTTTTTGCGATGACGCAGTTGGCAGCGTATGAACACGGTTCGCGGTAAGTCAAACCCTACCCCTGCTGGGTAGGCTGTGCTGGCACTAACTGCGTGTAAATACTTTGCGGTGATTTTTTTTTGTCAAACCCTGCCCCGCTGCGTAGGCTGTGCTGACACTCTAACCCTGTGTAGATACTTCGAGATGAGTTTTGTTAAACCCTGCCCCGCTGGGTAGGCTGTACTGACCCTGACTGGCCATTTGTAGATACTTCGCGATGAGTCTTTTGTCAAACCCTGCCCCTCGGGTAGGCTGTGCTGACCCTGACCGGCCGTGTGTAGATACTCTCCGATGAGTCGCACGTCCTTTGTCAAACCCTGTCCCGCTGGGTAGGCTGTGCTGACACTGACTGGCCGTGCGTAGATACTACCCGATGGGTCGCACGTCCTTTGTCAAACCTTGCCCCACTGGGTAGGCTGTGGTAACACCGGCCGTGTGTAGATACTACGCGATGAGGCGTGGATCGCCCGTCTCACCGCCTCGCGCTCAGTACTCAGATGCTGATACACAAGCCGCGTGGAGGTCCCCAGCCATTCTCGTCACGCGCCCCCACTTTCTCCGGCGCCCGCTTTCTCCGCTGGTACGCCTGGGCCCGGGGGCGCCCGGTCGCCGCCAGCGCCAGATCTCCCTGTTGATGGGACGGCGCCCCGACGAACCGCGCGCGCTGATCGCCGGGGGTATGCGCGGCAACGACTGTATGGAGCCGTGGCGCGGTGGCCGCCGGTGGCTACCCTGCACCGGTTACCGACCGTGGGGAGCCGTGGCGCGGGGTGGCGCGGTGGCCGCCGGTGGCTACCCTGCACCGGTAACCGCCTGTATGGAGCCGTGGCGCGGGGCGGCGTGGTGGCCGCCGGTGGCTTCCCTGCACCGGTAACCGCCTGTATGGAGCCGTGGCGCGGGGTGGCGTGGTGGCCGCCGGTGGCTTCCCTGCACCGGTAACCGCCTGTATGGAGCCGTGGCGCGGGGTGGCGTGGTGGCCGCCGGTGGCTACCCTGCACCGGTAACCGGCTTGGCATGCGCTAAGTGCTGTCTCACTGTTCAAATCGGTGGGTTCTCTGCGAGTCGCGCGCTCCTCTGTTCGCCAGACCGGCGGGCGCGGCCGGTGATATGGCCAGGAAAGGTCTGGCCAAACGCTCACAGGTCCAACGAGCGCCGCACAGCGATAGGCGAGTGTCGCGAACGGCAACAGGCTTTTAGACGCTGAGATCATTCGTTCGAGGTGTGTTTTGCAGAGTTGTAATACTTGGTCGGATATGTGTTTTGCGGATGTACGTTTTGCGTCGCCTTGGCGCCGTTCATACTGTGTGAGCTGCCGACCACGCTGGTGGCAGTTCAGCCCTACGTTTCACCTCACTCTGCCGGCGCGGTCGGAGGCCGGCCGGGCGGCGTCGCCACACGCGGTCACCTGTGTCGATGGCTGTATTGTCGAGTCGTGAACGATCGCCGCGCGGAGGGGCGACCGCCAGACGGCGCGGAGCCACCTGTGATCCACAACACCGGCCGGCAGCGGCCGCGGCCAAACAGAGCCCGGCGAAGGTCACAGTCGCGCCACTCGCTCGGCACCGCGCTCCGTCACAATCCCGCTGGAAATCGCAGCCGCATTCAAACCCATTCGGTCACAGTCGCGCGGGGACTGGGGGCTCTAGCGCCCGGGGCTGCCCGGCAGGTCAGCTGTCTGCAGTTAACAACAATAACAACGGTTTGAGCAGCCGCGCGGCGGACAAACATGACACCTGAGCGGGAGGGAATCAATGCTTTCATAAGACATCCGCATCCATTCTTGGAGTGTAGCCCAGCAAGGTCATAGCATCTGCCAGCCATGTGCGCCTGTGCGCTCGCGTAGTAACAACGGTTAGTGGAACATTCCTGATGGGTCGCACTTGCCTTGCCTTTGCAGCCGAGTCGAGCTTCGACGTTCGCTCATAACGGCCCCTGTTGTTTCTCACCCCTGGCTGGCACTGGTCACTGCGATTCTAGCGTCCGTCCCCACACTACGAGCGCACACATCACTCCTCCGCCTTCTCCTTCTCCTCCTCCGTCTCCTTATAGAACTTTGGCCTGAGCCGGGCGCCGAACGGGACAGGCCGCCGCTTCCTGTTACGGACCTGGTCCAGTCGAGACCTGGGCTTGGCCGTGGTACTGGCGCCCGCGGCCTCCTCGGTGGCGGCGGCGGCGGCCGACGCGACGGTGGCGCCCTCCGCCTCCGGCTCGGCCGCCTCCGTCGAGCTCTTCTGTCGGTTGTAGAACGAGCTGATGTAGGGCCGTCGCGTCGGCAAGTTGAAGAATGGTCGGCGGGAGGGCCGGGCGGTTGTGGTCGTGGTGGGAGCTGGTGCGGCGGTGGTGGGCGTCTCAGTCGGGGCAACCTCCTCCTCCACCTCCTCGACTGGCGCCTGCTCCTCCTCCTGCGTTGGCGCCTGCGCCTCCTCCTCCTCCTCCTCAGGCTGTTCCGCGGGGGCTTCCTCCTCCTGATCTGGGTAGTACACGAAGAAGACATCGCTGTTGCCCTTCTCGTCCACCACCTGGATCTCCTCATTGACGGCCAGCGGGTCTTCCACCACCTCCACGATCTCCACGATGTTGACATCATCGGGGCCGGCCAGCTCGTTCGGCTTGATCACCTCTTCACGGTACTCGGAGGCCTGCGGGTACTGCGTGTCGAAGCCCTGCTGCGGCAGCAGACTGCCGGGGTTCGGGCCGCTGTAACCCTGCGGCGCCGTCGGCGGCGAGTTCAGGTTGTACTGACCGGTGACGATGTCGGTCGGGCTCGGTGGGCCGTAGTCCTGCGGCGCCTGCGTCGGCTGCTCGCCGCCGTACGCGAACGAGCTCTGGATGTTGACGAACACGTCGCCGCCGCCGCCGTAGTCCTGGCCGCCCTGCTGCTGCTGCGCCTGCAACGACTCCAGCGTGATGATGGAGTCGGACGCGGGAGCCGAGTAGCCCTCCTGCGCTGCCGCCGGCGCCGCGTAGCCCTGCTCGGCGGCCGGCGCCACGTAGCCCTGCTGCGCTCCGCCGTTCGCCACGATGCTGTTGGGTCGCGGCGATCCGTATCCCTGTACCGGCGCCTCGGCCTGCACAGGCGCCGGCTGACCGTAGTCCTGCGCCGGTGCCGGCTGGCCGTAGTCTTGCGCCGGCGCCGTTGCCGCCGACTGGGAGCTGTACTGGCCCAGGATCGAGTCGGGCTTGGGCGCTCCGTACGCTGCTGGGTCGAGCGCGGCTACGTTTGAGACCGGTGAGGACTGAGGCGCCACCTGCGCCGTCGGGTAGTACTGGGCCGCGCTGTAGTCGATCACAGAGGCCTGCTTAGGTGAGCCGTACCCGCCAACGGTGGCGCCGCCGCCGGCCGCGCCGTACCCGCTCTGGGCCTGAGCCGGAGCTCCATAGTCCTGCTGGGCCTGGGCTGGAGCGCCGTAACCCTGCTGGGCCTGGGCTGGAGCGCCGTAACCCTGCTGGGCCTGAGCCGGGGCTCCGTATTCCTGCTGGGCCTGAGCCGGAGCTCCGTATTCCTGTTGAGCTTGAGCTGGAGCTCCGTATTCTTGCTGAGCCTGTGCTGGGGCTCCATACCCCTGCTGTGCCTGAGCTGGAGCTCCGTATTCCTGCTGAGCCTGAGCTGGTGCCCCGTATCCCTGCTGAGCCTGAGCTGGCGCTCCGTATTCCTGCTGAGCCTGAGCTGGAGCTCCATATTCCTGCTGGGCCTGAGCCGGAGCTCCGTATTCCTGCTGAGCCTGAGCCGGAGCTCCGTATTCCTGCTGGGCCTGAGCCGGGGCTCCATATTCCTGCTGGGCCTGAGCCGGAGCTCCGTATTCCTGCTGAGCCTGAGCTGGAGCTCCATATTCCTGCTGGGCCTGGGCTGGAGCTCCGTATTCCTGCTGGGCCGGAGCCGGGGCTACGTAACCCTGCTGGGCCTGAGTGGGGGCTCCATATTCCTGCTGGGCCTGAGCCGGGGCTCCATATTCCTGCTGGGCCTGAGCCGGAGCTCCGTATTCCTGCTGAGCCTGAGCCGGAGCTCCGTATTCCTGCTGGGCCGGAGCCGGGGCTCCGTAACCCTGCTGAGCCTGAGCCGGGGCTCCATATTCCTGCTGAGCCTGAGCTGGGGCTCCGTAGCCTTGTTCAACATCTGGAGCCCCGTATCCCGCTTCGGGTTGGGCGGGAGCACCATATCCCTCCTCCACGACAGGGGCACCGTACTCCTCCTGGGGCTGGGCGGGAGCTCCGTACCCTTCCTCCACGGCTGGTGCTCCGTAGCTCTCCTCGACGGCCGGCGCTCCGTAGCTCTCCTCGACGGCCGGCGCTCCGTAGCTCTCCTCGACGGCCGGCGCTCCGTAGCTCTCCTCGACGACTGGCGCTCCGTAGCTCTCTTCGACGGCTGGGGCACTGTAGCTGCCGCTGACCTGCACGGGAGCAGCATACGACTGCACTGGGCCTCCGGAAATCGCGTCCTTGGGCGGCCCGTAGCCACCGCTGGTCACCGGTGCCGCATAACTGGCCGCCGGCTGGGAGGTGTGGCCCTTGGAGCCTCCTCCGTGCCCGCCGCCGCCACCTCCGTGGCCCTTGGAGCCTCCGCCGTGTCCGCCGCCGCCGCCTCCGTGGCCCTTGGAGCCTCCTCCGTGTCCGCCGCCGCCGCCTCCGTGGCCCTTGGAGCCTCCGCCGTGTCCGCCGCCGCCGCCGCCGTGGCCCTTGGAGCCTCCTCCGTGTCCCTTGGAGCCGCCGCCGCCGCCGCCGACAATGGTCACGGCTCCGTTACCGCCATAGGTGGCCGGCTTCGGCGGACCGTAGCCCTTGCCCGAGGGCGTAGGCGCCTTGGGCACCCACATGGCGTTGTACATGGGCCGCCCCATCCAGATGAACTTGGGCAGGTGCGGCTGGGCGCGGCACATAGCCGGGAACCTGAAACAGAGGCCGCTCAATCACGGGCCGGCGCGTGACAATGTGCGGACAGGTTGACAGTTGACAGCTGGACAGCTGACAGCGGACAGTTGATAGTTGACAGTTGACAGTGGTCAGTTGACAGTGGACAGTTGACAGTTGGCAGTGGGCAGTTGACAATTGACAGTGGACAGTTGACAGTGGACAGTTGACAGTTGACAGTGGACAGTTGACAGTGGACAGTTGACAGTGGACAGTTGACAGTTGACATGACGGATGTGTTCATGTCAGCAGCCGAGTGTGTAACCTGACTCCGGCATGGTTCTGAAGCCGCTCACGTTTCTGGAAAGGCGGATGCAGCCCAGAGAAAACTATCGAGTGCGGACCACTGGCATGCTATTCGGATCTGTATCAGCGGAACACCTTTCGAGTATTAACTACCCACGTAGTCACTGGTCCAGGCCAGGCCCGGCGGAGCTCAGCCCCAAGTGCTTGCGACTCACGTGGTAGCCAGGTCAGGCCCGGCGGAGCTCAGCTCAGAGTGCTTGCGACTCACGTGGTAGCGAAGTCAGGCCCACAGGAACTCAGCTCCGAGTGCCCGCGACTCACGTGGTATCCAGGCCCGGCCCATAGGAACTCAGTTCCGAGTGCCCGCGACTCACGTGGTATCCAGGCCCGGCCCATAGGAACTCAGTTCCGAGTGCCCGCGACTCACGTGGTATCCAGGCCCGGCCCAGCGGAACTCCTCCGAATGCCCGGCCGGCTCGATCTTGTACTCGGCTCCACCTCCGCCTCCGCCGTAGCTGGAGGGTCCCTTGGCAGCTGGGTAGCTGGCCAAGGCCAGCGGAAGCAGCAGCGCAGCGGCCGTCCAAGCCCGCATCGTTTCCTGCTGAGAGGGTGTCGGGGTTAGGTGTGGCACGTCAGAGTGGCAGGGCCAGGTGTGATACGACAGACAGAGGGGTAGGGGCAGGTGTGATGTGATAGACGAAGGGCGGGGGCAGGTGTGGCGCGGCGGGCAGAGGAGTAGGGTCAGGTGTGGCACGTCAGACAGAGGGGCAGGGGAAGGTGTGGCACAGCACAGACAGAGGGGCAGGGGCAGGTGTGGCACGGCAGACAGAGGGGCAGGAAAAGGTGTGGCACCGCACGGACAGAGGGGCTGGTGCAGGTGTGATGCGACAGACAGAGGGGTAGGGGCAGGTGTGATGTGATAGACGAAGGGCAGGGGCAGGTGTGGTGCGGCGGGCAGAGGAGCAGGGTCAGGTGTGGCACGTCAGACAGAGGGGCAGGGGAAGGTGTGGCACTGCACAGACAGAGGGGCAGGGGCAGGTGTGGCACGGCAGACGGAAGGCACGGCAAAAGCGTCGACGGGGATGAGTTTGGTCGCTAATGCTCATTATGCCTTATGGTTGGATGCACGTGGTGGTTGAGATGTTTGCTGAAGTGCTCCTCGCACTTCAGCAACTCACGAATGAGCACCCCGCTCCACCAGTGAACACACACGTGCCCATTGGCGGAGCGGGGCGGAACAGTTCCTGAGACATTGACACGGACATCGCAAGTGGACGTTGGGGGTCACACCAATGCTGTCACCTTATGATGCTTCGCGAGTGGAACAAATGCGCAAATTCTGAAAAACCAAACTGTCCATCTACTGGTTTCTAAAAAAGGTATAAAACATGAAACATTGACGCCTGTTTTGTACTCCGGCCCGCCGCGCCGGTGCCGGCGGCGACTGTCCGGCTCAGCGCCTGGCTGCAGACCCTCAGCGCGCCGGACGCCGGGGGAGGTCGGCGTTACACGCTCTCGCCGTCGCGCCGCCAGATCCTCCGCCACGCGCGAGCTCACAGCCGCCGCCGTTTCGCGGCGCTCGAAATGTGGGTCTGGCGCGGCGGCGGCGCGCGCCAGCTCCGCCGACCCACAGCCGGTGGCACGCGGGCCGGATTCACTGGGAACGGGCGCCGGTTTCTCGTGGGCACGGCTGGTCCACTTCTGACCGACTAATCACATGCAGAACGGGCGCCCGACCGCTGACGAGACTCCGCCGTCGCCCAGGAGCTAGCGCGATGCCTGAGCCGTGCTTTCCGTGTTTTCTCGACTCTAGATGGTAATTGTTGTCTACGCCTCGGTCAGTTGCATGTCTCTCGCCTGGGAGTTCTCTTTCCTGGACAGCTTTACGAGGCCATTGAAGACTTTTATGGGTGAGAAAGCCTGCGTGTTGGCCCGGCTGAGGCGACATCAGCTGATTGATACTGAGCTTCTTTAGCCGTGACGGCCGACTGTGAGCCAGCATACAGGGGTTACAGTTTGCCCATTCCAGTCCAGTATAACGTACACTGGACGTCCGTTCCAGTAATTCCGCAGCTGTTAGGATTCTCGACGCAATGTGTTTCACGGGAAGACTTCCCCTTTCGCTGACTCAAGATAAAAGCGTAAAATTTTAGAAATCGCGCCGTGAAATTCAGTTGCGGTTTTATTTTCCGGTAGTTCGTCCACCTGTCGCCTGGATTACGTGTGTCTGGTGTTTCCCTGCCGTCATATGGTGACTGACGCCAGTTGCGAGGACCATGAGCTTGACCAGACCACACTTCGCCGCCGCGCCCACAGGTCTGGCGCGAGGGGCGGAGCCGCGTTCGCATCCGACGGCTTTCAGCCCCCATATCGCTCATTACGCCCCGCTGAGGTGCCTCTGAGCACGCGACCGCCGACGGTTACGCATGGGCCGCCTGGGCTGCGCCGGCGACGGAGGATGGTCGCTTAGCGGCGATCCTCTGGAAACTTGGCGCCCCGCCAAATTGTTCAAAAATAAGATTGCGATTGAAGAACAACACTGTCATGCCACTGAAAGGCCGTAAAACTCCAATTGAGAAATCGTGTTTCGCTGCGGTCGCCTCGAACGATCAGCTCTCACGATTTGTCCGTGAGGACCGTCAAGACGTGATGCCCGGCCGGATTTCATCTCGGACATCTCGGACATCTCGGACCACATCTCGCCGCTTGGACCCGATCGCAGCACGGCAGCTGGCGCGCGGGGTCCAGTTCGCACCTCTCGCGCGCGCCATCTGGCCCCGGTCGGAGCGCGGGGCTGCGCCGGCAGCCCACAAACCCGCCAGAGCGTGCAGCGGCCGCCGGCGCCGTCATCAAGGTCGGTCGGCGAAACCGCGCCGCGTTCGCCACCGTCACGCGTCACATTTGACGCGCGCCTGTAGCTGCCGCACGCTCAGCGGCGTGTCCGGCGCGGCCCACTGCGGCGGAGACACCGGCGGCGGAGACACTGGCGCGGGCTGGTGAGGGCGACGGGGAAGGAGCGACGTTGTGATGGGTCCATCAAGGGTAGGGGGTGTCCCTGAGCAGAATGGGTACGGAGAGTGACTTCTTGGAGACACATCACCCTGCTTTTGCAAGGGGGAGGCGGGAAATTATACTGGTACCAGTAAATTTCCTAGGTGAAGGCAGTTGACCCTTTTGCCGATCATGGCTACGCTGTTGTCTCTATGGTAGCAATCTCAGCATGGCAGGCAAAGATGGACAATGTCAACGAAGCATAAGAAGCTAGCGGCGACATCAACGGAACGTCGGTAGCTAGCACCACGGCTTGCTAAACGCCGTTATTTACAAGGCCAGGCGTACCATGACATCTACACATAGATCTATGCATGAGCCTGATATCTACACCACACTTAGTCCACAATGAAGTGGGCAGCTGTTATTAGGTTTACCGGCTCGGTGAGGGTTCGTAGACTGCCTCGGACCGACAGGCTAACGGTGCTGCACAATTGGCACGTGAACAGGCCACTCCAGCCTATGTTTAGACACCGACCACAGACGGCCAACAAAGCGCACGTTTGCTTCAGTAACGGCCTGTTCACCCACTGCTCCATCATGGACAGCGGCCTCAGGGCAGGAGCAGCCCGTCCGTCGACCTCGGAACACTGCCGCCTGAACCGATCCCATCGAGTTAACTCCCGCCGATCCGTCACCCAGCAGACGGGCGCTCTGTCGGATACAGTGGCGTGGCAGCCAGCAGACGGGCGCTCTGTCGGATACAGAGGTATCGCAGGCCACAGACAGGCGCTCTGTCGGATACAGAGGTGTGGCAGTCCACAGACGGGCAGGCGCTCTATCAGACACAGCGGCGTCGCAGCCGGCAGACGCCTGTCTGTGGGCTATCGGATACAGACGAGCTCTGTCAGAAACAGAGTCATTGTCTCCCCGCAGACAGGCGTTCCGCCAGGCACAGATGCGCTCTTCCAGACACGGAGGCGTCGTTTCCTCTCATACAGGCGTTCCGAGAGGCACGGACGAGTCGTGACCCCGGGGTCAGGCCTGCTGACCCCGGCCGGGACCGGGTCACCGGATCTGGCCGACTTCCGGCCGGGGCTGATGGCCGCCCGGTGGCCTCTTCCGGCCCTGGCCCGCCCTGCTCGGCCTGACCTCTATTGGCTGACCGAGGGAGGGGGGGGGGAGGGGCAGCAGGCGGTCGGCACGCGGCAGGAGGCGCGCCGCAGGTGGAGCCGACACGCTCAGATACTCTCCCCGGCTTCCGATGCGGTATGGTATGAAGCTCGTAGGAGAGACGGACAGGAAACCCAGGAGCATGTCATCTGATCAAAATGGGACCCGTATATGAAACAAGTAGGGGCCGCCCCAAGGAGGCAATCCGACTGCGTGTAACGAGCGGAGGGATCAGCTGGGAGCGAGCCCACCGGACACAGCCGTCCAGGCGATCACGATCACAGTCAAACACTACGAAGTCGAGTTAGTTAGTTGTACATACTGTTTTCCCACAAAGGAGGGACTACATTCTTCAGATGCTGCTGGATGTGATGATTAAAGCCATACACTGGATTTCAAGCGTCACCAGTAGCTAAGCAAGGGCGAGTGACTTATGTGTGGTCGTGTCATTTCTTCTTGTCAGCTCTGTCACTAAGTGTGTGCACCTAGGTGCCACCAACAGCTGAACATACGGACAGCTGATTGCTTCCTTTACAGAGCGGTTGGGGTGGCGGGTGGTGGTGGGGGGCGGGCACCATTCCACACATCTCACTCTGTCACAGTGTGTTACGCTGCTGGGTTTTCCACGTGACGCCCGGCGTAGTACCGCTCAGCTCGTCGCGTGCCGGCCGGCACAGCTGATTGCTACCCGACTGGTCACACGCCAGCGCCGCTGTCTGCCCGCTGGCGCCCGCTATTGTACGCGGCCGAGCGCTGAGGCAGCGGCGGCTCTGATTGGCCCGCCACGGCCGACGGGTTGCCGGCAGCGACAGCTCTGATTGGTCTCGCCACGGACGACGGGCTTACGGCAGCGACGACGAAAGAGAAATGATGCCGTGGCGACAGCTGGGCGCTGCGCCATGACCACCGCCCATCGGTCGGGTGCGGGTCACGGGTGGGAGCAAGGATGCATCCAGGGACTGATTTGAGGGGGAGGATGTTTGTCAGTGACGCGACAATTTTGTATAGTTGTTGATAGTGTCAGTCGCACAACACACAGTGTGCTGGCAGTCATCGCTCGTCTAAGAGACTAGAGTGACATCCGTTTCCGGGGTGCAGTTTTACATGCAGTTGAGATCATAATTCCTGAATGGTGAGGATCACTGAGGCCCTGAATAGTCTGATGTTAAGCATCAAGGGGTCAGGTCCGAACCAAGCTCACTTAGCATTTGGGAGCATAGATGCGGTTGAAAAAGGCAATATTTCATGCTGGATGTGCGCTGCTCATATAACTCACTAGTTACTCAGATGTTAGCTTGGCATGCACAGGTAGCACCGGCGTGCTGAAGGAGTTCCATAGAGCACGAAGCGAATTGCAAAATTCGCATTTGTCCTCCCGCTGCTCCTGACTGCGCTTCTCTATCGCACATGGCCTGCCCTGCCGGCGTTCCTGACTACGGCTCTGACCTGGTGTATGGGTGTGGGTGGCCTGCCCTGCCAGTGTGCCTGACTACGCCTCTGACCTGGTGTGTGGGTGTGGGTGGCCTGCCCTGTTGGCGTGCCTGACTACGGCTCTGACCTGGTGTGTGGGTGTGGGTGACCTGCCCTGCCGGCGTGCCTAGTTACGCCTCTGCCCTGGTGCGTGGGTGTGTGGGTGAGCGGCGGCGCTGGGCGACGGAGCGTCGCATGAGAGGGCATGGCAAGGCCGCTCCCAGCGTCACGCCCACCCGAGCCCGTGCCGGAAGAGAAATCGAGAAGGGGGACAGCTGCCAGGCCGGAAACGATACCATGTCAGAAGTTACTGGGATTGCATCAGGACGCTGCTGAGACGCTAGGGCAAGGACGCTAGGGAAGACGACATGGGCAAAATACAGTGACTGTAGCGGGACAGCACCACCAGCAATAGAGGGAAAGTATCGGAACAGTAGCGGGCAGGGAAAACGATATGGGTAAAATATTGTAACGGTAGCAGGACAGCACCACCAGCAATATAGGGAAAATATCGTAACAGTTACGAGACACTGTCCTGGTGTCATTGGAGCAGTGTCATGCTGGTGTCGGAGGCTGCAGCGATGATGTGTCGGACCTGATCTGTCGTCGCGTCACCGAGACAGTGTCATGCTGGTGTCGGAGGCTGCAGCAGGGATGTGCCGGACCTGTTCTGCGGCAACCGTGTCGAGACCGCGTCTGGGCAGACCCAGGATGCGTCGGGACTACAGCACGGCCAAACGACGACAGGAACACGTCAGTTAAGGTGGCATCCACACAGGAACTGTGACTGAACTGCATCAGGGTTATACTGGTGACTGGCGGAATGTCTCGCGAGACTGCTGACCTGGACTGAGACTGTCGCACCGAGACAGTCAAATTTTGCTGACGGCATGTCAGGACAGTGTCGGGATGTTACCCAGGTGGTGCTGGCTCCTAACAACAGCATCATGCATAGTTTGCTTAAGCAGGTTTTCTCCAAAATTCCTCGCGAAGCGGAGCTCGTTACCCGCACCCTGAGCTTACAACGAAGGTAAGCAGTGCCATCCAGGTCAGCGGGCGGCTTTGCCACCAGTTCTTTGGCCAAGCTATTCGTCCGCTTACCACTCAGCACTTGCGTGTGTGGACCAAGCCGTTTAATATCGTCACCTCATATCAGAATCCAGTCCTAGCGGGCAAGCCCTCGCTGTTCGATCTGATGACCGGTCGCGGGGCGGCGAGGGCAGGATCGCTTAAAGACAACACCGATATTGTGCCAATGCTCACTGCCGGTGGATAATTCGTGACATCGAACCGTGTCGAGACAGTGCACTGCGATAGCATCCGATGATTCTGTGCACACAGCTCGGCACGAATCTAACTTGACCGCGTTCTGGAATTTAGATCAGGACACGAAAGGGTGCCTATAATGACTATCGTGCATTGGGGAATGTTCCGTAACGGACGTTACACCTTATTGGACATGCTGGAGTGAACAGTGACCACCGAGCAAGAAGGCCAGGCTGGATGCATCCTTCTGTTCCTCGTCGACAATCCGCCGATGCCATTAAGAAAATTGCCATTAGTTCCGACCGGAGGGATACGACCTCAAAGCTGAATGGGTAAAATGCGATTTCCACTGCCAGCAAACGCAGACGGAAATGCGTTTAATTCACCGGGCCGCGCAGCGAAGGCATCCGAGCGACTTCAATTTGTCACATGACCGCAACCAGCCAATCAGCCGAGGCACTCTGCGCTCGGCGCTCGGCCGTGATTGAGCCGGAGCTGATTTACGAGCGGCTAAAGCGGGCATTCCTCGAAGCACTGGAAGCGGCGGCGGTCGGCAGTCGTGAAGTGGACCATCCGGCGGTTACTCACTGTTTTGTTGGCCGCTCGTCAACTTTCCGTGAGGCAGCGGCCGGTTTTATCGCCGTTCCCAGCCAACAATTTCCTGAAAAGACGAAGAATTCGGCTCAGTCTAGCCGGTGGCCATCGCCTAACCTCTTTACACAAGGCTCAGCTTTCCCGCCCAGCGTCTCTGGCCTACTATCTTACATTAACGCCTCACGACTGTACGGATCAGTTTCCAGCGAAAATCAAACATGACATCGCCTCTACGGCAGTCACGGCGGCCCTGTGCCTGTTAGGTCGAGTTTTCCGGGCACTCGCGGCGGCCGCGCGATCTTCTCGACGCCACCGTAGTGTCAAAGGCCTTGCGCGGGGCTCGAGATGAGGCTACGCTGAAAGAGAAAACGGTTGGGATGCTGGACGGGCGACCGGGAGAAAGCGGCGAACTGCGGTCCTGGCCGATCGCATCGGTGCGGTATGCAGCCTGCCCCGTGGACCCGGCGGTCAACAGAGAGGACCACCGGGCAGCAGGGACCACCGGTCAACAGGGACCACCGGTCAACAGGGACCACCGGCCAACAGGGACCACCGGCCAACAGGGACCACAGGTCCACAGAAACTACCGGTCCACAAAGGGGCCACCGGTCAACAGAGGCCAACAGCAAGTAGCCAGCAGACAGCAGGAACTACTAGTTGCCGGGTCTGTCAATACAGAACACCGTCTGCTCACTGATAATCCCGTGAATGGAACGGTCCCCAGGCACATCCCTCGATCAAAGAAGAGCCGTCACATCATTTACCATCGCTGGCTGGCTCGTAATAGAATTGACTGATTGATTTATTGTGCCCTGACAAACGACCGGCACGCTCCACCGTGGCCGGGGGAAGCCTTCTCCGCTGACCAATGTCGGTGCTGCAGAATGGTCGCCATGGCAATGACGTGTAGCATGTCTTATAGTACCCGGCGGGCCCGAATCTTGCTGAAGTTCAGATGGAGACCGGGCTGTGTTTCGCGTGGCAAGAATTGGCTTAAATTTTTTTGCATCCCTGTCATTTTTTAGAAGCTGCAGGATTGGGGCATGCACATTTATATGCAATAGGGAACATAAACGCGTAACCACTGGCCCATTGCTTTCAACGTGTGCTAGACAGCCCGTTAGGCTGTAGGGGCGTTGGAAGACAACTTTAAGTTACAACAATTATATCCTTGTAAAGCATGCAAATGGCCAGAGTAATAAAGAGTTTTATGGTTGGCTTTACGACCGCCATCAAACACCGCATGAGTTTTGAATGGTCCAACGAACTTTTAAGATTTTAAGTCCAGAGGACTGGCTCTCTCTCTCTCTCTCTCTCTCTCTCTCTCTCTCTCTCTCTCTCTCTCTCCCTCTCTTTTCGTAGCAGCGAAATGCTGAAGAGACACCCTTTGGCTAAACTCATGATCGATCAAGAAAGCGATGACCTGGTAACAGGGCTAGATTTCTACTTGTCGTCATTAATATTAAAGCAGGATAAAATTTCAATAATCTGCTCATTATTATTCAGTGGCTTCATTCACACTCGGAGAATTAACGTCAACACTTCGAATATCCCAGCAGAAGTAGCACAAGCACGAATATCGCCACTTCCTGTCATACTAATTGCTGACGAGACGGCTGTTCCGGGTTTCGTGAGCTGCGCGTAGTTGAATGGGGTGTCTGTGTGGAGGCCGGAGTCTAGTTTTTGGAGGGGTTCTGGCCAACCAAAGACCGTGTGACCACATCAGTCAAGCTTTCCGACAGGCGCGATGATGTAGCCTTACGGCCCCGATGAGCAGGACCGAGCACTCCCATCAGATTTCCGACATCAAACGAGCGACGGCAGGCCCGGACAACGCACTCGCTGCCCACGCGCGCTCGCCGCGGTCCTGCCGGTCGAGCCGCTATCGGCTCGTCAATCAGCTGTTGAGGCTGCTGCTCTCACACGCGCTCACAGCGTCTCGACACGGCCGATCCTGGCAGCGCCGATCCCTATCGCCCATGACCTGGTTCGGCCGAGAGCCAACAGCGATCTCACGGCGCGCGGTGAGTGCTCTCCGCGGCCGCGGCAGTAACGGCGAGCAGGCAGCGCGTGTACCGGCAGACTTCCAGACGGGCCATGTGCCAGAGGAAGCCCTGCGTTGAATGTGAAGGCGCTGCGCTTGTGTTGATCAGCCTGGCCAGTACAAACGCAGTGCGCAGGGGGCGTGCGTTTCCAAGCGAAGAGACATTGCGGATGTCACAAGCAATCACGATGTTAAAATCGATGACATCATGGCGCCGAGCGGCAGACTGCAGCCCCACCGAAAACATCCAAAATACTTTCTAATGATTGGTGCTTATCCCGCAGGGTGACCCTGTGAGTGATCCGGCCGTGGCGCGGCTGCGAGGCTCTGTGGCGCGTGCTGGGCACATTTGGCCGCGTGGCCCGATGGCCAGCCGTTTTGGCACGAGCAGAAAGCGTGAGTATCCGCTCCGTCGGCCGCGTCTCCCTGCGCTGCACAGAACGCTAGGGCCTCATCTGCCCCGGGAGACCTCGTGAGGGTCTGCGCTGTACAGACCGTCAGGGTCCGTCTGTCCCGAGAGACCTCGTGCGGGTCTGCGCTGCACAGACCGTCAGGGCCTCATCTGCTCCGGGAGAACTCGTCTGCTCCAGCCAGGGCCTCATCTGCCTCGGGAGACCTCGTGCGGGTCTGCGCTGCACAGACCGTCAGGGCCTCATCTGCCCCGGAAGAACTCGTCCGCTCCAGCCAGGGCCTCATCTGCCCCGGGAGACCTCGTCCGCTCCAGCCAGGCCCACTCTGGTGTGTGGTGTTCACAATCGTGTCAGCGGCGGCAGCCGTTTCGCTGTCAGGAAAGCAAGCGCATCGGTCCGGCTGGGTTCCGGCAGTCATGGTGTCAGTGACTCACACATTGACCCAGTAGTCGGCGCCGTGGGAAACGGTGGCATGCATTGAGCATATGCAGCGGAGATATGTGTGTGAACAAGCTAAAAGAAAGAAGCAGGCGAAAGCCAACTTACTGCCAGCTGGCGAGACCACGAAATGAATGAGAATAAAATTTTGCGTTACCAATGCTTTGCAGCGCTGGTAATCCAGGTCAATCACGACACGTGGCGTGTAATCGTTGGTTTCGTTTTGGTAATCTCACGAGTTAGGAGACCTTAAGCAGAAAGATTCATCAAAAATATTTGGAAGTTGCCAGCTGCTTGATTGCTAACCGGTTGGATAAGTGTAATTGCGAACGTGTCTAGAAAGTCGTCTACGTTATCTACCGCACGTGCACATGTGAGCTACCCAAGCGCGAAAGCTCGGTGGTTTTCAGGGACGTCAGAAATAAATAAACAAAATAAATGCTGCTGAAATATGTTTATCCTCAATGTCAGTGCGTTTAGTTTTTTTGCGAGGCCTTTCGACGGGTAGCCACGGTTCACGAGAGAACATGATGTTTGACAAGCGCAGTGACGTCACGTCATGGCGTGGTGACGTCACGCCACAGCACAGTGACGTCACAACAAAACGTCACAACACATTCGCTCAGTCGCTGAAATGCAGTCAAGGGATACGTTCAAAGTACGAATCCATACAATGTCGTGCGATATCTGAAACCAAGTCCACTAGACTGACTAACACTGATCAGCACCAATCGCCGAGTAATATCACATCAAGGCCCCACAACTGCGTGCGTCTTCCAAATGCACAACGGTTGATTTCATTGTGTCAGCCGGTAAGGCAGCTCTAAACTCCAGTGAGCTGTTAGGCTGCGATCGATTATCGACGGCGCCGAGATAACCAGGACGCCGAAGGCAACCCAGTCGGTGGGAATTCGTCACGATCTGGTTGGATACACATTCCCATGTATCGCATGCTTCCAGTGTAACGAAACGATTTTCTTCTTCTGTCTAGACGTGAAAGGGAACTTAATAGCTGGAAATGTATGATGAGACGTGAAATTATGGGATTTAAGGTCCCCTAACACTAATATAAGCAGGAAGCAGCGTCCTCCAGCTCTGATGTAAGCGTTACCGATGACTGATTTTGAAAGTCCTCGTCCCACCAGGCACGAACTAGCCACAACTCCGGCGGTGTTTAGTGGACGCGCGTCCGCAGCAGCTGGACGCGGCACGCTATTACCAGTGGCGCTGTGGTTACCCCGCTCTACCTGCAGCGGCGCGCTTATCCCTGTCGTTACTCGTGAGAACTGCTTGAGCAAGCTCGTAATTCGAGGCGTGTGTGCATGTAAATCTGCTGGATTGCTTAAACATGATTGCTGAAACACGAGTTGCTGGATTGCTGCAATCAGCCCCAAGTGGCTTAAAGACCTACGCCACGCGCAGCTTGTGCTCGTGATGATCCAAAATTGCTGAGACAGTAGACTCTGTAGGGACCGGGGTGACATTTAGCTGCAAACACATTGCGAAGTTTTGAAATGCGTTGCTTTCTGTCTAAGATAGCGCCAATTTGTTCCATTGATTAAATCACATCTCAGCGCGAGTGAGTGGCTGAGTGGGACCAGCGTTAGTGCACGGGTTCGTGGCAAGTAAAACGGCCGGAAGGACATGGCGGGAGGACATGGCGGGAGGACATGGCGAGGGTCGACGGGCGGCGTCATGGGGTTACGGTGCAAAAACGATGGGACGTGCTGGCTCGTGGACCTTCTTCACGAAGGTTATCAGATCAGACTCATATGTGACAGCGAATAATATCGGAGGATCTAGCTCAGATACAGAGACCCAGGTTAGTTTAGAGACTTTAAACTATGACCTTAGTTTTGGTAATCTGACCCGAAACGTGGGCATCGTATAGCTCACTGTACCATCAATGCATCATGTCCTTTGTAGGCTCAGAAGTCACATGAATGACCAACACAGTTTGACAGCTAAGGGGCTAGGGCTCATTACAGAGCTATTCGAAATAGTGTCTGAGAGAACTGACAAGACATATACTGCCGCTTGTATCGGCAGCTACTGTGTTTAGTTGCCAATCGTTGGGCGGTCAGCACCCGAAACACGTGACTTTACGTCACACGAAATATCACGCCGCTGCATTGGTGGTTAGGCGTTCTAGCTTAGTTATTGACTGAAGTTGAGACGACTAATGGTTGATACCAAGCGACCTGTGAGCTCTCTGCGCTCACCGCAGCTCACAGGTAAGAGCGCCAGCAAGCAGAGCCGGCGTCCTGCAGCGTCCGCTGCCGAGCTGACACGGCGCCGCACCTAGAGAAGAGCGCTGTACGCCACGCCTGGGCGGTGTCGCGTCCCAGAAACAGACATCGTGAGACCCGCGCTGGCAGCTAGCCAAGACGGCCGGGGCGCCACCGGGCGCCGTGGCGGGTACTGACATGACACACATAACCCCATTGATATTATTTGGCGAGATGGCCCAAGCATTTGAAGAATTTCCTAGTGAAGTTAAATTGGTCTGCAGAGCTGGATGTGGTGCGGTCTTTGCAAAAAGCAATACTAGCGATGCCTCCGATCTCAGACAATGCATGCAAAATGTTAGGTTAGACCAATGTAAAAGCAAAATCAAACGCATACTTCAGCACCAAGTCTTGGCAGAAACATTCCATCCTTTCCAGACAAAGATCATGCTAAATTATATCCCATCAAAGGAAATTTGCCGGGACTGATCAATATGAGCCGAAGTGGCTGGCAAAATTCGAGCTGCGTTGATAAAATGTAACTTTTCCAGAGCGACGCTCCAGTTCTCCAGACAAGGCCGCGAGCTTCCTAAAAACTACCGCCGGCCACGCCTTCAACTGCTCCGGTGAAAGCACGTGCCGCTAATAACCTGTGAATCCTATTTACACTGGTGTTTTGCCGATTGATTGGCCGGCAGAGCGGTGCTTTCGCCGCAGCGCGCCGCAGGTAATGGCGTGCCGATTATTCAGACGAGCTCTTCCGCCCCGACCGCGCGCTTTCTAAACGGAGACGGAGGCACTGGGTATGGCCGGCCAACACCTATTGGCCCACATCCAGGCAGCAGTGCGCTGAGCCTGCGGCCTCGGCAGGCGCAGCAGCCCGCCTGCTGAATGCGTCAGCAGGCGGAGCTCAGCCGGCACCAGCCCTGCGGCCTCGGCAGGCGCAGCAGCCCGCCTGCTGAATGCGTCAGCAGGCGGAGCTCAGCCGGCACCAGCCCTATGGTGCGGTTAATCCAGCAGCCTGTTGGCTTTACCAGACAGCGTGCTTTCTGCTGAGTATGTCAGACAGTGTGCTGCCAGCTGAGTATGTCAGACAGTGCACTGCCTGCTGAGTATGTCAGACAGTGCACTGCCTGCTGAGTATGTCAGGCAGTGCGTTACCTGCTGAGTATGTCAGCCGGTGGGCTACGCGCTGAGCACGTCAGATGCCTGCTGAGTATCCCGGGACAGCCTCTCCATTCAGCGAGTTGATTCGTGAGCTGGCTCTCATGAACAGGTACAACCACGAACAAAGCTGACCATGACACCCCGTGATAAAAACTCAGCCACACTCCACTCCGCGATCACACCGAGAACGGTGTTAGGAGCACGACTCGGCGAAATGCCTCGCCTCTTCCATGGCGCACGGCTCTGACCCCTGAGATCGCTTTCGCTTCCGTCAGAAGGCTGCAGCCCGACGTGTGCCAGGAATATTAACAGGGAAATAAAGTACACCTGTGAGGTGCATCCTTGTCCGGAGCGCGGTTTCACCGACCTCGCCACGCGAATGCTGCGCACGCTGCACGCGAGGCTGCATGCGCTGCTGCAGCGTGCGGCGCGGATGGTTTCCATGCGGAGCGTGCAGGCAGCCGCGTCGCTGCATAATCCTGGTCAGACCCGTTTCAAGTCAGCTCGCGGCGTCCTTGGACGGAACGATTATCCCCAGAGCCGGGCCTACTACACGGTAGTAAAACCGTCCTTGAAAATCCTGAATGAAGCTACTGCCAGTCATCGACTCAGGAAAGTGTTACAGACAAGTTCCACCGCCGCATGAGCTATGCGTGCTTCGGGCAGCAATGCTTTTGATATCCGTGGTGTCAAGCACAAAATAGCTGCTGCTCTTGGGAGGATGGGTCTAAATACTACGAAACACTACGCATGCACTGGACAACCTATATAGATAAAGAGCTCAGCACCACTCGTTCATTTTGTTCCATTCCTCTTTTTCGTTCTACATTCTAACTTTGCAGGCTGTACCGATGGTGTGGTGATATGTAGTGATCAAGATCGAGTAATGTAGTCCGAATACGTAAAGATGCCACACATTTGATTCTTTGTCGAATTATGAATTACGTGCCAGGCTATCTAATCAGGCACGGCTGCAACACCTGTGGCCGGATACCACTCAGAGGTATCAAGCACACTCAATATCTCAGGGGCACAGTTGTTACATTTTCGTATATACCACTGTAAACCGGCCAGCATATTTGCCGCTGGCCAGTTTGCAGTCGCTGCTGCGGCTGGTTCGACCCTGTCGCTGACCCGGCTTGATCTTTTCCACTGCACTGCCTTGGACTAGACCATCTGATCTCTAGGTCGGTAGCAGTGCCACCAGCTGATCTGTTACTCTGAGTGCGAGTGACAGAGGTGGCCGGCCCTGTCGGCACCGCGGCGGACTCACCTGACTGTGCGCGTGCGCCTGTGCCCGGGTCCGGCCTCGTCGGCTGGCTCCGACCGTCTCTCGCTGGCTTCCGCACGCGACTGCCTGGCCGGACGACGCGGGGCGGCGCCGGCGCCTCGCTCTCGCCCCGCCACTCTCGGCTCTCTCGGCCGCCGCCGGCCACGTTCCCAGGCGCCGGTGTACTGAGGCATGCCGCGGCCCCGCCGACCGGGCGGCAGGAGACCGCCGGTCAGGAGACGACCCGGCGGCAGGAGACTGCCGACCAGGAGACGGACTGGGCAGGAGGAGACCGCCGGTCAGGGGACGACTGGGCAGCAGGAGACTGCCGACCAGGAGACGACTGGGCAGGAGGAGACCGCCGGTCAGGAGACGACTGGGCAGCAGGAGACCGCCGGCTAGGAGACGACTGGGCAGGAGGAGACCGCCGGTCAGGAGACAGCTGGGCAGCAGGAGACCGCCGGTCAGGAGACGACTGGGCAGCAAGAGATCGACGGTCAGGAGACAGCTGGACAGCAGGAGATCACCGGCCAAGAGACGACCGGCTAGGAAGAGAGACCGGTCAGAAGACAGTTGGTAGGGAGGAGAAGCCGATCAGGAGACGGTCGGTCAGGATGAGACGCCATTTAAAAGACACTCGGTCCGGGGAGACGCCGGTCAGGAGAGCGTCGATCAGGAGAAACCAGTCAGGAGGCGAATAGTTAGGAGAAGCCATCCAGGAGACAGTCGGTCAGGAGAGACCGGTTAGGTTACAACCGGCCAGGATGCGACGCAGGTCAGGAAATGCTCGATTAGGAGGAGACGCCGGTCAGAGAACGGCCGGTCGGGAAGAGTTGACTGCATCAGGAGGGCGCTGCCGGTCAAGATGGTATGAGCAGGTAGGAGGAGGCAGGCGGTCAGAAGTCAGCCAACCAGGGAGAGATGGTCGGGAAGCAGGGGCTGATCAGGAGAAGGCGGCCAGGTGGAGGCCGTCGCACAAGAATCAGGAACACTGTCACGGTCTTCAAGACTCCTGAATGTGACTATTTCTAGCAGAACTTGTTAAACCTCCCTTTAGACAGCCATTACTAGACTGGCTGTTTAATTTAGACTAGACTAATTAATTATAGTCTTCAGTTATTACTGACAACTGCACCGAGGCAACTGAATGTTGGAAAAGCAGCTACCTAAAAGGTCAACGACATGTCATTGATTTTCATGGACAGCACATAAAAAACGGTTCAGGGCTAGGCAATGACGTAGTTCTGGGTCAGTTTCACCGGGTCGGAGGGCATGTTAGTTTTGCGGGAAGCCCGAAGTTTTTTTTGTTTGAAGTTTGAAGTTTTTTTGTACCATCCCGGTTGTGAAACTCTCGACGTCTCACACTTGGACAATAGTGAAAAAGATTGAGATTGATGACACCATGGGTGCCTGCAGAACGCTATAAAAAGGCCAACTAGCTGGGTCAGGGAGAAGCATATGATGCCGAATGAGAAAGCCTTTGACACCGAACTAGGAAACCCATGGCAAATCAATTTCCCTTTGAATCGGAACAAAACCAGCGCTGATTCGTCATGTTTTTTAACAATATGCATGTCACAACACTAGACATGTCGAGCGCTTCAAAACACAACATGAGCCAACTGCCGAAAGGGAAAGGGCTTCCCTTTAACAACCATGTTTGTGATGCTAGTAAAAGCACTGCATGGTATGGACCAGACATTGTGAGTGAGGGCGCTGCTCCGCAGTCAGGGGTGTAGGCTAAACCTTTTCCCAAAATGCACCATATAGAGGTTTTCTCCGCGAGCTTGGTTCACGTTGCTCTTAAAGTTGGTGGGGGGGGGGGGAGGGGGGCGGGCTGAATAAGATTACTGAAGTACCCTCAGAGGGATTTTTTTGCACTGAAAGATACTGAAGCAAGCATCAGATGTGATAACATAAGCTCGCTTATAACTATTCCTTTACTTTTAGGTGGACAAGGACTGCTCTAGACTACACAACTTCCGTTTAGTAAACATGCCCCCAATACGTCATTGGGTGATTAACTCATTGTATATTGCACAACATTGATTGAGAGCCAATTGAAGGCCGCAATATTTGGAAATCGTGTTCACGAACGCTAGGTATGAACGACTTCAACGTTGTATTTTTGGCCTTGATCGCTGCATAACCAAAGGAATGGCAGGATTTGAATGATGTTATTATGGCTTCATGGATGCCTGAATGACCTTGAAATAGTCTCCCCGAAATAACCCGCAGATCTTCACGGGCGTGTAGCTCAGCAACTAGAAAGGCTTAGGTCTCAAGGACAGGGTAGTAAATTACACTGAATAATCTACGCGATGTTTTTTTATTACCTCAAACCCTCATGCACATGTGGAATACTCCCCTTAACTCAATAACGTACTGCATTCCTGTCGTAAGTTATTACTTATTTCATTATATCAACTTACATATAAATATATATATATATATATATATATATATATATATAATGAAATCAGTATATATATATATATATATATATATATATATATATATACTGATTTCATTGTTTCAAATGTCACGCCGGTTCGTATATTCTTTCTCAGCTCGATTCACGGTGTATCGAGAAATAGTGAAACAGAAGCTCTGTGGGTTTAGGCAGTGCTTATGTCACACGAGAACGCACGGAACTTTCCATTTACGCTTGGCACCGATAGCAGACGGCATCCTTGATTTGGGCCTTCAACCTCAGCTGATGTCTTACACGCTGCAAACTCTCGCGTCACAGTCCACTCCATTAAATGGCACGGACGTTATCTGGATGAATGAGCATTCCAAGGAAGTCATGTAATTTTGTAAATGCATTTAAGATGATGAATGTAGATAAATCCTGTTGTGGGCTGTAACCTAAACCGTGCACTGCGCAGCCCCCAGCGGTTATGATAGTCTGTTTGGAAATCGTGGAAGCTCCACAAATTCCTCGAAACAAGCGAAAGAAGCAATCAAATTTAGCAGATTGAGATTTCAACTCGTCCATATAACCACATTTTCCCTCTGGCTTTGTTGTCTGAACCACCCCGTCTGATAATGATATGATCAGGTGCACAGGACATTGTAGTCATGACCGCCACCACGCACCTTTTTGTTTAGGAGACGGCGCCATCATTGAAGGGGATGTTCATGGGTGGCAGACAAAACTGTATTATTCTCGAAGTGAAGTCATAGTCGAGCCTGGGTGTAAGCCAGGGTCGGATTTTAGTTAACCGTGTTAGTCGAAATTGTCGCTAAGTCGGCTAAAAATATTTCAGTGACAATAACTATTACCATTCGACCGATGTGAGTATGAGGAGTAAAAAGAATGCTAGGTGTTTTGCTGCCGTGTTACTTAATCATCAAAATGTGCTTCAGAAAAGTCCTAGTTTCTTTGGTTGGAGTCAAAGCTCAATCAAAGTTGGATTGGGCTTTCTCGGCGTCGGATTGGGTCTACCCAAGTATGCTTCATAATTTGTTGTTTATCCAAAATCGAAATTCATTCTGCAGCGATGGATTAAGCGCGTCTTGCAATGCCATCTGCATTAATAAGATCATTCTGTTAACTGCAGCGATGTCTGATTATAATTATTTATTAATTATGCCTCATATACGACATGATCAAATACATTAACGGCGCTCGCAAGTCTTACTAAAACGAAAATGCATTTTTTACGCTGGTAGAGCGAGAAGAGACGTCAGCCACAATATACCATTCGACAAATGCATCGACTTGAGTCGATTTCCATGTAACACTTCGGCTACTTAGATGGCGCCGACGATGAGCACCCGCTACAAGACGGAAATAATGCTCGGTCTTAGACTAGACTTTTCTAGCGTATTCGGTTCGCAGTGCTAGTTTCGTATGGCAGTTTGGTGAGCGTCCTATTTTGCTCTGATTAATGTCCCCGTCCCCAACAAATGACTAGTCAACCTGAATGAATCGCCTTGACGTCGTCGGCTCCGAGAGCTATCAAGCTGCACTGTCGCCGTCTCCGAGAGGTACCAAGCTGCCCTGTCGTCGACTCCGAGAGGTACCGAGCCGTCTTGTCGCCGGCTCCGAGGGATACCAAGCCGCCCTGACGTCGGTTCCGAGAGGTACCAAGCTGCCCTGTCGTCGGCTCCGAGAGGTACCAAGCTGTCTTGTCGCCGGCTCCGAGGGGTACCAAGCCGCCCTGACGTCGGTTCCGAGGGGTACCAAGCCGCCTTGTCGCCGGCTCCGAGAGGTACCAAGCTGCCCTGTCGTCGGCTCCCAGGGGTACCAAGCCGCCCTGACGTCGGCTCCGAGAGGTACCAAGCTGCCCTGTCGCCGTCTCCGAGGGATACTAAGCCGGCTTGTCGTCGGTTCCGAGAGGTACCAAGCTGCCCTGTCGCCGTCTCCGAGGGATACCAAGCCGCCCTGACGTCGGCTCCGAGAGGCACCAAGCTGCCCTGTCGTCGGTTCTAAGAGATACCAAGATGCCCTGTCGTGGGCTCCGAAAGGTGCCGAGCTGTCCCTGTCCTCGGTTCCGAGAGGTACCAAGCTGCCTTGTCGTTCAGCTGTCGTGTCACATAGCTTCTTTAGAGCACGGATGGCCGTGGAGGACGTTATCCTGCCGGCACGCAGCAAGGCATTCCTTGATCACATGGGCGGGGAAATTATGCTTGGGCTATGACCCATGCGCTTTTGGAAGAAGCTGAACATTAAAACTAATGCGTTGCATGCAATGCATGGGTTTGAAGGCGTGTTTGGGTCACCCACTTCAGCTATGGTCTTCGCCCCTGTATCATCGCGTGGGTATTTCCTCACACTGGCTATTTACCACACCATGCGTTGAGGTCACGCAGTGCTGGCCTTCTCAGCCGGTACATTCCCGCTTCCACCACCATCCTCAGACCGCTGATTTGACCGCCGGCGCCGCGGTGCTATTTTCTAACGTTGCATTGCAGTCCTCGACCGTGGCCACCCGCGGTGTTCTCTTGCTCAAAGACTGAAAGCTTTCGAGCGGTGAAAAAGCAAAGGTCTTTAGCGGCAGTGGAGCGAAGGCCGGCGGGACGCGTGACATGCATGGGGAACCAAATTTGGCAGTCGTAAAGCTCGTTGGTAAGTGGCACACGTGATAGTTCTGTCTGTGTGTCCGCCATTGTGTTTCCTTTCACTCAGAAGCATGTCTGCACTAACCTGAAGCATGACACAGGGATCAAATTGATTATCACCGCGTCCAAACTTTGCACAAGCACCCCGACTCTGTTCTCATGCGAACCAGGGGCATGACCTTTCAACAGTCCTCCTTCTGCATCTATGACAATGGCCACGGTGCCGTGGGTGCTGCGGATAGTCGCGATCGTGCATAGGCACATGACTGTGTATGGGAGTGATAACGCATTGATACGCTGATCTCCGACGTCTTCAGCGCAAACACCGCATTAACCTGGCATACCCTGAGCCTCGTCCTCGGGGCAAACACCGCATTAACCCGGCGTATTCTGAGCCTCATCCTCGGGGCAAACACCGCATTAACCCGGCGTATTCTGAGCCTCATCCTCAGCGCAAGCGCCGCAGTAACCCGGCGTAGTCTGAGCCTCATCCTCAGCGCGAACACCGCATTAACCCGGCGTAGTCTGAGCCTCATCCTCAGCGCAAACGCCGCATTAACCCGGCGTATTCTGAGCCTCATCCTCGGGGCAAACACCGCATTAGCCCGGCGTATTCTGAGCCTCATCCTCAGCACAAACACCGCAGTAACCCGGCGTATTCTGAGCCTCATCCTCAGCGCAAGCGCCGCAGTAACCCGGCGTAGTCTGAGCCTCATCCTCAGCGCGAACACCGCATTAACCCGGCGTATTCTTAGCGTCATTTTCAGCGCAAACACCGGATTAACCTGGCATGTTCTGAGCCTCATTCTCAGCGCAAACACCGCATTAATCTGGCGTATTCTGAGTATTGTATCGTGGGCGTATTTTGAGCCTCATCCTCAGCGCAAACATCGCATTAATTTGGCGTATTCTGAGCCACATCCTCAGTGCAAACACCGCATTAACCTGGCGTATTCTGAGCCTCATCCTCAGCGCAAACACCGCATTAGCCTGGCGTATCATGAGCTACGTCAGTGAAATGTAAGGCGCTTAAACACCAATGTTTGCCAGAACTTGGTTCACTCTTCGAAACGCAAACCAGTGTACCATCAGACAATCTAAATGGGTGGGTCTCTGGCGGGCTAGTAATAATTATCGCCAATGCAGACGTCCTGTTGCATTACTGACATACCACGGGATGTCAATGTGACGGGCCCTTGGTTACCAGGTCGTCGTGAGGTAGCGCTCCCGCAATAGGACTGCCATAGGACATCTGCAAGAACCCACGGGTCCGTGATCCCCAGTCACTGCTTGAAGAAGGGTAACGGATGATTAAGACAAAAACCACACTTGGAGAATCCACTGACTTACATCTTGATGTCAATGCACAAAACAGTCGTCAGGCAAGTTTTCCTTAAATATGCTACCATGAGCTAACCGTGGCAGGCATTATGAAACCACATAGATGGATGCATTATCAGATCAAGCCGCTTGAGGTGGGGTGCCGGCCGGGGAGACCAGTTTTTGTGGCGTGCAGCAGCGACGATTCACTTTCGAAAGGGCATGCCAGTCCGGCCCGCTGAAAAACCAATGGGATGGCCCGGCCTGTTGCGTCACATTGTTTCAGAGAAACCGAGAGTGCTCCAAACTGTTCTCGAAACTGTCGGCCCCCTCCGCTGCCTGATGACCCATTGTGGCCGTAAAAGGGTCATTCAGTTTATTCTATGACCCATTCATTATGTCAGGCGTCGCCTTCCAGCAAAGCTTCGTGATGTTATCCTCTCTGATGGAGAGGCGCGTAACCACGCTGTTCAAGAACAGGCCTCCGTATGCGGGAAGCAAGCAATTAGGCGTCATAAACGAAGCCGTTTTGTTCGTCAGAGTTACGTGGTGAATGAGGTGGAACGAAAGGCAGGCGAACCTCGATATCCAAGCCTGAGTATTCAGAGGTGGAGAATAATCCCACTGCGGAGATGCGCAAGCAAAGCAGATGAAAACTGTCATTTCGTGTCGCACCCGAGCCGACTTCCGTGCAACGAGAAGCGATAGGAGGCAGCCGGCCAATATTGCTGGTTGTTAGATGGACAATGGAACTTCCATTACAAAATGGAATATTTCCTAACTTGTCAGAGGTCAAACAGCATACCCTTATTTAACAATGGTGCTGGCAGACAAGAGTGCAACGTTACGAATGCCTGAAGCGTTCATAATGTTGCATAAAGTTCGTATAAAAAGATGCTAATGTTATCACGACGAAATGTTGCACCATAGGATCAATGTTAACCAGAGCGCTCCAGTATTTCTCTCGGAAGACAAAACAAACACATCTGATCCCATTATCATTTTGTGCAGGCTCGCAACCGTCGGTTAACACATTGCATACATCGCATCAAAACATGGGCCAGAAAAATGAGGTAAGGCGATATTCTATGGCATGCCAAGCTGCATACAACAACCCAAATCTGTTCCAGTTACAATTTTGGCAAAGCTGAGTTTATAAATTTGCAATGCGCTCCGACTCGAACGGCATATCGTCCAGAGGTAAATCGTGTGCTCACTATTACGCATCTCATAAGCACAAGAAATTACAAACTCGAACGTCAAAAACATCATATTGCACAATTCCATGGCTTGAATATCAGTGCCACCGGCATCATAACAACACTTCAGAATGTGAAACTAGTGAGTATGACTCGTGTTCACATTGCCAAACACCGAGCAATGTTCTGTCTACGCTCGCGTGCTAAGTAAGAGTAAATCACTGCACTACTTTGCGCAGCATCACCCGTTTTCTAGCAAAGTGAGCTATAACAACACTCTGACGATTCTAGCAGATCCTTCACCGTCTGGACCAACGGCCCCTACCGGTACCGGTACCGGCACCCGCACCGCTACCGGTACCCGCAGTCTGCCAGCCGCCCGCCGCCCACTGGCCCGCCGCCCGTTCTTCCCCGCCCTCCGCCCACCGGTGTTACACGTCTGCTCACTCCGCGAATGGCACCAGGTGCACCACCGGCTCGCCGCTGTCGCCCCTCACGCAGCTGATGTAGTAGCCGGGGATGTTGCCCTCGCGGACGTGCCGGCGGTCATAGCCGCCGAAGTCGCCGGCGCGCTGCACGCGTCCGTTCCGGTACACGTGACCGTAGTCGACGGGCGGCACGGTGGCGTGCTGGCTGCCGGCGGGTACCAGCTGGTACTGGGTCGGCGTGGGCTGCCACTGGGACTGCACCGGCGCAGCGGCGACCGCAGAAGGGTCAGACACGGTGGCGGCTGGCGCGGCCGCGCGCGCCGCCCACGCCGGCGCCACGACCACCTCACGCAGGACGGAGGCCGCCGCCGCCTGATCCGAGTCGACCGCCTCGACGGTGTCGGCCGCTGCCGTCGCGTCCGGCACGGGACCCAGAGCCTCGCCGTCTCCCACGGCCGGCTGGTCCTCAGCCGGCGCCGCGTCCGCCGCTGTTGTCGCGTACGGCCAGTCCCGCGCGGTGTACCTCAGGGGCCCGAGGTACCCGCCGCCGGCGGTGTCAGCGCCTCCCTGCGCGCCGTAGGTGGGCTGCGCCGCGTGCTGCTGGTCGCCGGCGCTGTGATAGCCGGAGGGGGCGGCCGGTGGACCGAGGTAGGACCAGGCGTTCTCGGAGGGTACGCTTGCGGGATAGCTGCTGGTGGAAGGCGGGTTCTGGTAAACCGTACCGTGCTTGTACGACGGAAACTGCACCGGTACGTAGGAGACAGTACGCAGCGGGTGGTAGCCGGGCTGCTGCGTCTGGTACGGCCGCATCACCGGGTGGGCGTACGCGTAGCTCATGATCGGCTCCACCACCGTCACCTGAGCGGGCCGAGCCGGCGTGTTACGCTGCGGTCTCACGCGTACGCGGCCAGCTGGCTGACGCGGGGGCTGCACGCACGGCCGATCGGTCGTCGCGCGCCGCATGCAGACACGAACACGGATGCGGACTCAGAGGCTCGCCACGCTCGAGGGGGCGATGTAGCGAGGCTCCAGGACATTCATGGTGGGGGGGGGGGGCGTCACACTTTGGAAACTGCTACACCCGCCAGCTTCGTATGCATCAATCGTGATTGGAAAGGGTTTGAAGTGCACATGTTTGATTAGCACACAAGCGTTTTGCCAAATGTGGCACCTTGTGGCAAGTTTTGGTGGAACGGGTATCTCATCTGTCGTAGGCGGGGTCACAAGTATCGGGGTCATGTTGTTCTCAGCGACATAAAGGTTCGTGCATTAAGCTGCGGAAGCACCTGTCTTGCACTGCACTCGTCTGGTCGATGACACACAAGAGTGAGGCACAGCAGGGGCTTGCAAAGCTCTGATGTCTCTCCCGCATGACTTTGGTGATTGGTCTTCCCCCAAAGGCCTATCGCGGAGCTTTGCGGGGCTGCGACAGCGCACAGCTACGCAAACCAGGCGCCAGCTGCCAAGGACATGAGACAAATGTAAGCACTGTGAACTGCAAACCTGTCATATCACTAACGGCAGACGCCCGTAGTCGCCGACGTTCTGATCATGACCGCCGTACCGCGCCAAGTCGGGTATGGTGACAGTGACCGTGCTCAAGTGCTCTTACGTGCTTCCCAAAGCTCTCGTATGGGTAATATTCATATTCATGGACTTCGCTGTTGAATGTCTTCACGTCTTCCACGTTCTGGTAACTGTTGCTCGTCTCCCTGTAACACTGCCGGTCGTTATATCCCGCCTGACATCTCAGCTGCTCGCGACTGCCCGACATCAAAATACTAACTGTTATGTCAGCAGTGAAATGCAGCAATGCACGCTATGATAGTTAGGTACATACAAGCCTTCCATGGCATAAGTTTGGCAGGTACCTTCCTCATTTATTTACCAGCGGCCTGATCTGCGCCGTTTTGAGTCAGGTACACGCAAGTCTGTGTACACGTGAAACGATAACCAGACACTACTCACACTAGACACTACTCGCTGTGCACGACCCAATGATTGCCGCAGCGATGCGGCACGTTGAAAGACATTGGGAACCACCCGAAAATCGAGTGGAGGTTTAATTTGCGCAGAGCCGCATGAAATGTCCTGCCTTGTTACGCTTCTTGTCGCAGCCGTTGACGGATTATGCTGCAGCGTTTAAAAGATATTGGTTTCATCATGAGTCCGGTGGAAAGATGTTGGCTCCAGAATGGGTCCAGTGGAAATATGTTGGCTTCAGAATGGGTCCAGTGGAAAGATGTTGGCTCCAGAATGGGTTTAGTGGAAAGATGTTGGCTCCAGAATGGGTCCAGTGGGAAGTGAGTGTTTTGTAGCGATGCTCGCAGTTTTTGTCAATGATTTCTTCTGTGTGTTGTGGAAAAAAGGCGCAAAAGGGGCAATGTTTCCCACGTTCAACACATGCCAGAGTTGTACAGGTGCTTAAGGTCCTTTTACGGCACGTTAATTGCCTGCTCGTTTGAGCAAAAATAAACTGAGAATTGGTCAGCCCAGGCCGTCGATAGCAGCAGGCTGTCATCAGAGTTGCGCGCTCACCTGGCGTCGGTGGCACGCTGGCCCTGGCCCACCTCTTCCACCTGGTACGTGCCCTCCCGGCCGTGTAGCTCCTCCACCTGTCAACACGGGTCACACGAGAGACGTCAGAGCGGTCACGGCAGCTTAACAGCACTTCAAGTGTGTACAGAAGCGATGTCAGATTTTGGTACGATGCCACCATGACATGATGATCGGTACTAGCGGTACCGTTGCAGTATCGAATTGCATGCAGAGTTATCAGTAAGGTATATCAGCATGCAGAGTTATCAGCAGAGCAATCAGTAAGGTATAGGTACCAAAATTTTACCGCATGCTGCGTGCAACAGTGTCTATCCCTGTTCCACCTTCCCTTTGCGCGATTGTGTAGAAACGAGATATCTCATTATCTGAATGTAAAACAAAAGAAATAGGACATGTGAGAAGGAGTTCACCAGTCAGAAGGTTAAACACGCATCATTTTTCTGAACGGACTTCAACAATAAGAAAAAGGTCTTGCCCTACGCTATCAAACCACAGTAAGATATCAGCAGCACAAGCTCGGAATGTTGAGGTGATAATTACCCTCACATTTTGATAATTATTTTAAACATAATTTTAATATCATTACCGTCACAACGTCGTCATCTCCGTTTCCATCGTCATAAAAAGGCGTGAAGACCGGCTGCTCTTCTTGCTGAGCGCCATCCGCCTGTAGAGGAGCGCCGTCGTCGGCTTCCGGGCTGCTCTGGTCATCTTGGAGAGTGATGGCATTTGTTTCACGATTGCCATCATTAGCGCCTACCGGCGCCCCGCCAGCCAGAAGAGCCAAAACTACCAGCGGAATGACCTGCAACAGACGGTCAGAGAAGTGACTGAAAAAGCCGAACCTTGTCCAATGACATAAATATAGGATACCCACCAGTTGGCAAAGTTTCTTAAATTCCTCGAAGTGTGCTTCAGTACACCTAAAAGTGGAAATGGGGGAACCGGGCGTGCTTCGTCTTAAACAGGACCGCCACCCTTCCAAATCAGTGGTTCGAATTCAACAAACTGTGGTTCCAGCATCACAGAGTCACATACCAATGTCGGGGGAGTCAGCAAGAATCGCTTAAAATGCGTTTCGAGAGGGGATGATCCAGTGAAAACGCATCCCGAGAGGGGGTGATCCGGTTAAATATGTCCCGAGAGGTAGTGGTCCAGTTAAAATGTGTCGCAAGAGGGAGTAGTCCAGTTCAAATGTGTCCTGAGAGGGAGTGGTCCAGTTCAAATGTGTCCTGAGAGGGAGTGGTTCAGTTAAAATGTGCCCCGAGAGGGAGTGGTCCAGTTAAGGACAGATCACGTGGGAGTCTTACAATCGTCAGACATGCGTCCCTGACTTTCCCTACGTGGCTTCGCGAAGGGTAATATCTATATAATCGTAACATGTCGCCTTTTTTGGCTGGTTGTAACTATACGGCTCAAAAGTGTAGGAAGGTAAAGTTTAATTTCACCACCAAGGAATATGAGGCAAAATAATTTGTCACGGATCACCACCTGTCCGACGCTTTCAGAGCGTTCATCAAGCAAATCATCAACAGTGATGCGAGATCTTCATGTCCGAAAAGTACCTGGACAGTCTTATCAATAGCGATAAACTGACCACGCTTTGACCCGCAAGGTGCCAGCAGTTTTTCTTAAGCCTCCTCTTTTTCAGTGTTCTTAGCGTAAGCTATCATTTTGTTTCAGATCTAACCCCTCTTTTCAAATTTGCATGCTTTATTCAAATCAGAACATCGCGAACATTGAAAGAGCAAGAAATAAAGTCACGACAAACGCAACATACAGGTGGTGTAGCCGCGGAGGTCCTCTCCCCCCTCCCCCCCCCCCCCCTCCCCCGCTGACATCTGCGAGTCAAGCAGGCAGCCGCCTCTGCGACGTAAACCCATGTGTCTGGCACGTACTGGGGTCGGGCTTACTGACCCACTCGGTCACGGCTGCGGGCATCTTTTAGAAAATGAATTGATCGATGATACATATCCGGCGATTGATTGAGTTACGACTTAAAATGGTTGAGCACTGCGTGGTCGATGCATAAGGAATTGGTACCGTTAGTTATGTCCTATAAGGTAAAAACACATTGCATAGTATTGTCTTCACTGGGTCTTTACCTCACACTCAGCTGCTGAGGCTATATGGTATCGGTTATCTCTCACCCTGACAATAAAGGGCAAGCAGCACTGGGAATCGAACCCATACTTCTGGTTTCCCAGACGCGCAACTTAACCATACTGCTATCGGTACCCTTTAAACGATCTTAATTGTTCAGCATTTTTTATCATTGAAACATCACGCGCAAAACGTCTAAAACAAACATTCCATATTCGTTTCAGTCAGGCCTTACTTGAACTACCCAATAATCCTCAGGCATTTCATGAAATGCTTAAAGATGAGATTTTCCGTCGGGCAAGTACAGTGATAATACAGAAAACGCCGACAGCCTCGCGGGCATTTCATGCAACACTTGAACTTTTAAGTCATGTAGCGAAACAATGACATTTTTACGGATGTTATGTGAAACGCCAGCATTGCATGAAGCGCCTAATTTTACCTTGAAACGATGGCTTTTGCCCAGCCACTATGATTTTTAGACCAGTGTGCAGGTGCACGCATGCCGTGGGGTTATATACCTAACGTTGTGCCATATCAAGTGATGATACAACAAAACAACAAAACTGTTTTGAGATTCAAGGGTAGTTAACGTGCAAACGTTGTCAACGATGGAAGCATTATGTGCCATTGCGTACCACTTACGCAGTGAAGAAGGCGCAGCAAATGCTTTTAAATACAGTACATTTGTAATCACTTTAAGATTAAAGACCCGTGGAGAAAAACGGTCATAATCTAGACACCACTTGTGTTGTTCGTATTCGACGGGGAACTTATTGAGTTGCAAGTTTGATGGTGAAAGTGAAAGACCCATAATATAACAGGAGGCTCTGAATGAACGAGGTTATCAGGCCAGCATTTCATATTTTGAGGAAATACGATGCTTCGAAGCTGCGCTTCGGGTCTAAAATCTGACCAATACTCCCTTGATAACGATGTTTCACCACTCCTGGTCTAATGGAGGTTAATCATTTTCAATATAGCAATTCCAATTCATACTGACGAATGGCCGGGATCTTAAAACCTTTCTTGCTTACATAAAAGACAACTGGTCAACTTTTCGACACTTGACAATTAATAAAGTCGAGAAACAAGGGACAAAAAGGATTCTGTTTTGAGACATACAAGCAAGAGCAAAAAAACAGACATTGAGATAAACAGCGTCCGTGCGCTAGCGCAGCTCTGGACATGCACCTACCTTCATCTTGCTCCTCGGCTGTAACACTGGCACTGGTTTTGTCTAGTTCCGATTTTATAAGCCAAGCCAGTTTTTCACAACATGAGGGAAGTGGGGACGGGTGTGTGGCAAGAGGCCGCCAGGTCCTGCCAGCGTCGCCACCGCCGATCTCCGCCATCCACTCCCAGGTGCGAGCAGGGAGAACCCAGCGCGTTTGACACTGACGCCCAGCATGCTGTGGAGAGTTCAGCCTTGTTTGGAAGAGGTCATGCTGGTGAATGGAACGCCCACTGAAACCAGATACGAATCCATGGCTCGCAGGTCCGGAGATGTACCAGCATTTTAGGAGATAAAGATTCTGAAACACCAGCTGTACTGTACAAAGTTATTAGAAAGGAGCGTCATTTTTATGGGTGACGGACACTAATGAAGCGCATGTTTGTGGTGAAGGCGTAGGAATGCGCCCGGTGCGTGAGTGCTGCGTTACTCTCCGCATGTGTGAGGTGGTGCCGCCGCCATGACGGGTTCCGTCCCTCTCCGGGGAACCTGCCGGACTGGTGCCCGTGTTACACAAGCCAGCGGTGCCCCCGCACCCTCGGCTCCACCAGAGCAGAGAGAACGACGCCTTCAAGGACGACCGGCATATCCTACCCCGGAACATGTGTTAATCATTCATAGAATTGAAACCACGAGCTCTTGTGTGTAACGGCAGTTTCAGTGTCAAAAGGCGCGCAGGCATATCTAAACATCTGTCGGAAAAGCGACCAGGCCCTACCGCTCCCCTCTCCGTCTTCGGTCCACCATCCCTAGCCAGGGGTAGAATTTAAAACGCAAAAAGTCGAAGGAAAAATAGCAAAATGGTTAGAAGTCTACAGACACAGAAGCTGAAGCGGAAGAAATGGACGGACAGACACAAAAGGGATAACAACCGACTTAGGGAAATTCAAACGGGATGGAGCTCGACAGGAATAAAAGACTGGAATACACTGCGTCAGTGGAAGCCAAAGCGCCAGAGGGAGCCTGGAATCAGGGCCTGGTGTGTGTAAAAGAACTGTTGGGAGCTAGGAAACCAGTGTCTGGCGTTTGTGGAATGCTAGCGAGAGCCAGCAAATATGTTGTTATGTTTGTAGTGAAACCAGTGGGGACTAGGAACTTATATTTGTAGCCATGAAAGAACTGATGAGAACCAGGAAACCATATCTTTACTTGTAAAACAGCAGTGATGAGCAGAAAGCAAGGAGCTGTGTTTGCAAAACAGCGGTTAGAAACCGGGAAATTGGGTGAATTTTTTTTAATAGCCAAGCGGAACTAAGGGTCCCTTTGTCAGGAGAGCGTGGAAACTAGAAACCAACATTAGTAAGCAGGCACCTGTCTGTCTAGCACAAGAGCTCACGACGAAACTCACGTGAGAACTCACTCAAGAACTCACGACGAAAATGACGGGTTCGCGTCGGACGCCACCGCCGTGCTCAACCTTTGCCGAAGGAAATAATTAGAAATAAAAAAGTGCCCTGGCGACTGGCATTCGTACTGTTCGTCACTTATTGTCGCAGACTCTTTCTGTCTCCGTCTTTATTTTTCACTTTTACAGGCGCAGAAACCGACGGCCGCATGGCTAACAACTCTAGATGTTCCACTCACGCATGTCACTTTTCGCTGGGAGCTGGTCATTTACCGAAGCCTCAGCGGGGTTCATCATCAGCGGTGGACGTGTCATTCCTCAAACGTGGCACACTGCCGCGTCGAGTACTCGCCGCGATAATATCGCCGGCGGAG